CCTGGCTTACTAATAAATTGAGATTCTTGGTAAATCATGCCATTTTCCCTCACTTAAACCTCTGCCTTCGCTAATTCTACAACCGTGTTCCTTCTCGCTACGCACATTTTCCCTTCTTTGGAAAAATCCTTTCAATATAGGCATTACCAATAGAGTAGATAAAACTTCAGCTGTAAGTTTTTGCAGTTCCTTAAATTCGCAGCTTCAGAAAATTCTAGCATGCTTTTTGTTGACAAGCGTATGAAGACCTTGAGTTTTTGGACAACCGCGTCTTGTCATTAGCATATTTTGCCACATTAACGAATCTTGTCTCACGAGGTCCTTGGAAAATATTAAAATGTATTATTCTAAAAATTACACCACTTCGTGAGATGACAACTTCCCTGCAGTAAATATTATTTGCGTCTTTTGAAATTGTGCTTTTATTACCTGAATCAAAATAAAGTGAAAATTGAATTAACTTTGCTGCCTAAAAATTTACCTTTCGGTCTACACTCCGAACTCAATACAATCTCATGTTTCAGTAATAAAATACTTTGCATCACAGCGCACATGAAACGATTAAAGGTTACAGGAACATTCAAAAATGCACATCAAATTACTTGAGAGAAATTTTGTTGAAAATGTACGTATAAGGTTGTAGGAGTGTGTAGTGGACAAAGCTGGAGTTTCTGTGATTATGGTGATAAAGTATTGCGTCCACAGAAATGAGAAAATATTTGCATTCCTCAGAATCAGTTACTGATCTGTCTTTCAGAGGGCAGAAAGTTCAAATCCATAAATATAATTCGGATTTTCCGTTCAGCATCCAAAGCTAAACCTCGGATATCTGAGAACTCTTTGGATTCCGCAAATACGCTGCAGGTCCTCACCACTCAGAGACGCAAAACTCATTATACGGGTGTTCTTACATTGCAAATTAAGAAAAATAACTTGCGGCTGGAAAAATGTGAATCAGGGTTACGCGACGCAGCACGACTAGCAAACGCAGCCATCAGCTTAATGTTGTCCCGTTTTGGCAGGAGATGCAAGTCAAACAATATTATTTCAAATTGGTGATATTAGTTCGTATGTTGTGTTGGAGTAGATTTTTGCACCAAAATTTTCATTCTTAAATATGGAACACAAAAACTGAAAAAAAAAATGACCAAAAGAAAATATAATGTAGAATTAATGGCACCGATGGCCTATTTAGGATAATTACTGTCATAATGGCATACGTAAAACAAAAGTTAAAATCTCTAAAAAAAAATCTGTGGTTGTAATCTACAAGTTTAATGGGAAACAAATAGAACACAACTGAAGTATTTCTATATATTTACCAATTTTTTTAAAAAAAATGATGATATACTTAAAATACAGAATTAACAATTGTGATATCTGCAGTCTATTGCAGTGAATCTAAAATAATTTATAACATTTTACCGTACAAAACGGTTAACCAAATCTCTTTTCAAGATTCATTTGTTTATTGGGAAGATATGTTTACTCTCCTTATACCTGCTTCTTCCAAGCAAATCTCTTATTCTTGAAACTGTGTGTGTGTGTGTGTGTTTAATCATTACAGTTCACACATAAGATTAAAATGAACAACAAAAAATAACCCAGTACACTAAACACAGAATGAAAAGCTTATATAAAACACTTAATGAACTTAGTACGACAGTTTCAAAACTACAACGTACTCTCAGGACATTTTCTTTAAGTTCAAGAGAAACAATGGAATTGGTTGGTGGGGTGAATACATGGTTCATGTCCGCTAAAACACAAAGGTTCTGGGATCGAATTCCACTCGACTCGTGGATGCATGTCTGTTTTTTCTGTGTCGTCAAAGGCCGTGCATGAGGGGGGGGGGAATCCCCCCCCCCCCCCAGAGAATTACAAATAAAATGATTTGGACCCTCTCTGAACAGTAACAGAACTAACGCTTGGACATATTTAATAAAAATATGGCGTCCAACGTATTAGTAACAGAGATCTTAAAACATCTCACAAAGCCACATAAACCAGATGTTGCGTATCGCAAGGGATTATGTACTACTTAAAACTGATTACAGAATCACCTTTTGCATGAGATAAAGATGTGTGGTTGGATGCAGTTGTTACATAATTCAGTTACTTAAGACAAAATGCAAAACAATTTAAAGTAACCACTACAAACAATACATTATCGAGTATTTTGTTTCCTGAACTTTTGGGATAATTTACATAAAGTACCAAATGCAGCAGCTAAATCTGTCATTCAGATGAACATTTCACTAAAAAGATAAACGCACTGATGTTTCAGATAAAAATTCGGTGCACTGAAGTCTTGAAAGACGTCAGTGCGTAACGTACACAAACTTACGACCGCCATCGAAATCACTTCGTGTCTGCCTCGCACAGATGGCCTTGCTCTTATTTGTACAGAAAAATCTATCATTAAAATTATGCACGTACGTTACATTACTGCAGAAATGGATAACTTTATTATAACCTTCCAGATCCACATCACTCACACTTACCATTTGTACGAGTCCGTTCACTTGAAAATTTACATCCCCATGAGTAAAGAAAGTCTGCGCGGACTTTAACAGAAATGTCATGTTGGATTTCTTACTGAAATGGATTACAAACGTAAAACTGGAAAGAGCTCCCAGTAGACATAAGCGGGAGTAGAGCCAGTACGGACAGTGGAGAATATGAATTGAGATGGAGGTTCCAAGTACACAACAGCACATAACAAGTAGACACAAAAACTATGAGATTTAGTCACAAATAAAAGAGCGGTACCATCTGGAGCAACAGCTCTTGCAGTTATAAATCTATTACATGTGTACGGAGTCTTTGCGGCGACTACCGATTTTTGTTTATTCATCTCTTGAATGTGTAATAATAAATACCTCGTATGACTTTAAACCTCAATGCTCGCAAGTGACAGTTTCCCTCTGCGTTGATTAACATCAGGCTAGATTATCATGTACCATGGGAGATCAAAACATCGTTATTGAAAGAGCACAAATATTCAGATAGGAATTGGCAAAAGTAGATGACTCAAAGTTTTTAATTAATTATCACTGTAATTTCCATTATTTTATTCTATTACTTCACTGTCATACAAATATTCCACTTTCCCAAATATTCTGTTGTACCTAAAAATGAACAAAGCAAGAAATATTTACCTCTTCAGTTCCTAGTACTAATTTTGACTGAAATATTTCATGGGTGGACGAGTTATGTCGTAAACAGCAATATTAAATCAACTGTGAACGGCTGAAACCATCTTAAAATATGCTTCTACTTTGATATAGTTTTGCGATATAAAATATTAACGAGTGCTGTTCAAGCAGTGGTTCTGATAATGGGCCAGATGGACAATATTCTATACTAAATTCATTAATTATGTTTTGAAACAAGTTCATTAGGTCAGCCTTGGAAAATTATTCAAATGATTCTTGGAAATGTAGTTCATCCACAAAGTGAACTTTTCCTTGCAGCTACTTTTCATACAAAATTAAATTTCTTATGAGAAGACACTGAAATAAATCAAAGCTGACATGATTTCAATACTGTCTGGAGCATTTACGTGTTTCTGAAACGTTCAGAGACGAAAAACTCCAACTTGTTCCAAGTGTCTTTGCTACTTTGGTGTAAAATTCTGAAGATGTTTACTTTACCTTTCTACCTCTAATTTATAATGCCAGAGTAAGATACAGTCCACAGACAAGGAGAAAAGCCCTGTTAGGAATTCGATATACGCGCATGCGCAAGATTTCGCGATGAGTGACGACCCATCCTAAAAACACGCGTTCCACCACCACTGAACGAACAACAGACGACATGCTTTCATGTGTTCTGATGGGTATAGCTTTAAGATTACCTCACAGAGGCACAGCGATTTAATCTAGAATATTATCGCAACACCCACAGAACACATTAGAGGTGCGCTCACTACACGCTACCCTTAACGGCTTGATGTTTTCAGTCTGTGTGTAGTAGCGTAAAACTGTGACGTATCACACTTCCCACCAATAGCAGCCCTCTAGTCCAGCTGAAAAGTAACATTCCCCCCGCACCGCCCCAGAAACGACTTCCCCCCCGCAGGGCTTTTCTCCTGGTCTGTGGACTGTATGTTGGCCATCAGGAATGTTTTGTCCTCATGGAGTTGTAAGCTTTGCAAGTTATGAACTGACATGACTGAAAAGATCAGTACATTCGCAGCACTACGATATCAGAAGCCAAAATTTTCTTAACGCAGACAACGGAAAATTTAACCGGAAGTATCTTTGTCATCCATTATCTTCACCGAGTTCCAATCCATCTCACATAATACACAATACTAATTAAGTTCTTTTTGTTAGATCTTATCATCTTGTTTTGAAGCCCTTTCAACATTGAGCAGACATTTTTAATTCGCTAGTACTGCAGACCAGTTCAATTTGTTCTTTGTAATTCACTGCAACTTTCTGATATTGTTTTACCTAATCTAGTGCAATTAAGATTTAACAGAAGAGTAAAGTGTGTCCACCGTATGATATGAAAACATATTCTTCAGTACCGAACACATTATCAAGTTACGAATCAAATAACGATGCAAGACCTCATGCCAAAACTCTTACTTCACTTGTTAATTACACAATATAACACAATAAAAATAATGATCCCAAAAACATTTCAATACGTTCAATTGAAAAAATTTTGGAAACGTATTGTTTTTGCGTTCTGTACTTTCTATTCTTGCAGAGGGGGAATAAAACCCAAGCCATGTGCAGTCTGTGGTTTAAGAACCAAAGACTTGAGAGCATTGTTTTTCTAGCATGATCATTTCTGAGGAGAAATTATATATTCCTGTTGATGTTGGTCTTCTAGGCAGTAATGCCGCGCGGACTCGTAAGTACGCGACGTTTTGGACAAACATATACGGGCCTGAAGATGGAATAATGGTATTTACATACAAGTCTGCGCAACATTACTACCCAGAAGACCAACATCAAGATATTCACCACCATGAAAACCTCAAATCTCATACATGTTTCATGTTTGCGTTCTTATTTGTAATCACAGCACTAGTTATTACATGATACAGTTTATCTGGATAAGTCCCACCCAAACAAAAGAGTAATAAACGAGTTTGCTTGTCTGGTGCTCCGGTATCCATACCGTTCATAGGCAGGAACAATCCGTACAGAATACTGGGCTGAGATTTTTATGTCAACATGTGTTGATGAATTAACCATAATTATCGGTACATTCCAAACTAGTGAAAACAGTATTCATATGATATTAAAAATTACTACGTGATTTTATGCGGCTCATCAGAAAATTATACATCTTGAATTAATGTATTACTGCGTTCAAGTATTTGCTGTCTGAATATTTATGCACCATACAACCCTCAAGTCTGTGGTTTCAAAGTGTACTGTAATCAAGTAAAACATTGTATAATTAAGTAAGTGTATTACGAATGTATGATTCTGTTTCACTGATTTCTTTCAATTTACAATATAATATACAGGATGGGTGGGAAGTAAGTAGGCATTAAGAAATGGTTATAACCTCCATATTTCCGATGCAAAGCGATTATTTAATGCCTACTTACTTCCCACCCATACTGTAGTAGTTTCAAATCAGTTAAACACTTCCAATTTTTTAAAAAAAATATTTCATAGAAATCACCATAAGTTATGTGGTTTTCATTAACAGAAAAAGAAACAGAAAGCAGTATGGGTACTGGAGTAGCAAATGGCAGCATGAAGCCAACATGACTGATCTCCCTGATTACAACCATAAGCTAACTTATTTAGATTTAACTAACTGAACAGTTGTTCAGTGGCTCTTTCCAAATCCCAGTTGTATGACGATAACGCTACTCTTGCTTGGTGATCCTCAATTCCCATATCAGTGAGTCTTCGAATCTTCAAATCAAAGTCAGAATTTTTATGTGGACCTGAAAAGAATTTTAATTATCTTCTTAAATTCCTCAAGTAAAGCCCAGAGTAAAGAGCATATGGACAACCACATGCAACACCACAGAGCGCGAGCAGTTACGTATAAGCTTGGAAGTTCGATCAACCCTTCGGCCATCAACCAATCTCCTGTCACATACTCTTGCCTCTAAATCCCATATACTTTGGCATATGTTCTAGCGTTCCTATGTTTCATGTAGTCAGCACATTCTTATAACAACATTTTGGAAAAGAGTTAAAAAGTTACATTATATAAGACCAATAAGATCAACGACACTGGACTACAACTGTGCATACCTCCTGCATAGATGAATGTCCAATGACGAGCTGTTTGCCTAAACATATCTTGGTTCTCTTTAAACTGTTTGGCCACAACGGCATCCTGGGGGTCATCAGGTTCTGCAGCAGCAAGTAGCGCTTGGAGAGAAAGTAGAACCGTTCGCAACGTCATTGCTGCTGCCCTAGAATAAACGTGTTATATTTATTCATTTATTTATAGTTACTGCACAATGTTGTCAGTAGCTGAGACTATATATAAGTGAATAATAGGAAGATTATTGAATTAACTGGAAATAATACAGAAGGAAGAAGTCACGGCATAATTTAAGGTATCATTCAGCCATTTGGAAGTACTGAGGGAAACCATAAAAAACCACAGTCAGGATAGTCAGGTTTATGGATGAAATTTGAATTTGAGATTCTGGAATGTGACACAGTGGACAGACGCAAACAAAATTCTTATTTCCACATAAGACAAGAAACAAATACTGAACAAACATTCAATAAATACATCAGCCTTCAGAGTCTGTATTGTAAACAAATATATATATATATATATATATATATATATATACTTACCACTGATCTTTCAGGATATCTAAACATATTGCTCCAGTCACAGAGGAAATGTTGGGATGCCATATTTTAGTTATAAATCGCACCTGCACACATAAGACAAAAAAATTACCAAGAAAGATTCTGTTTCAGTTCTTACACACCTCACTTTTATACTGATTTCAGGTTAGGTTTACTTGGGGCTTTCTTTCTGGTAGTATGAAAAGTTTGTCATAGTGACTTTATTTATAACACATAAAAATTAAAAGGAAATGAAACAACACAGTCAAGACAAGATATTGTGGTGACTTTCATGCACGAAATTCAACAAATATTTTAAAGATTTATTTTTTAGTTTAAAAGCTGGGAAAAAACATACCATCCTATTGACACATATTTCTACAATATAAGCACTGTGCTGCCCCCTATTCATGTCCCTAATTTCTTTTGAGTTTACTGACCAAAACAATTGTGTGCATTTTGTATGTTATTCATCTGTGCTACATGGCCCATACCTCTCACCCAAAGGGGGAAAAAAAAAATCCTGTCAAATATCCAAAAATCTGATAACCACAATTGCCACCTTGACTTCATAATAATCTGTTACAAACTGATGTGAGTCCATGATAATTTGACCACCTAATTCTTCACATTTTATATTATAAATCACTTATTTATCGTCACAAGTTGCAGTTATAAATCACTGGTTTTTTACATTACCTTTGGTGGGTTAAAGGGATATGTTTCTGGTACTTTTATTTCCAATACAAATGTCCCTCCCTCATAAGGCGTCTCTGGGGGTCCAGCTATTTCTCCTTTCAATTCAGTATAGTTGTCATTCACCAATTCAACTTTTATAGCACACTTTGCAACCTGCAATATAGTAAGGTCACCTTAAATCCCAAAGCTCTGTGTTTTGTGGCATTTAAACAATAAATAATGATGTGACAAGATTACCTTGTTATCATTTTCACTTCTTTATTTACGTGAAATTTATCCACATTCTTCTAAGTCCATTTAATATTATATCCAGGGCTCTGACAACCACTGAACACACTAAATTTTAAGACAGTTAATGAATTGTACCACATAAACCCCATGTTTTCACATCATTATACTTCCTAAACAACTGAACTTCAACTACAGAAATTAGGCCATCTGTCCTTCTTTGATTCAGAATTCTGAAACTGTATATAATTTATACATTTTGGTAGGAACCCAACAGAGGTCATCTTTGAGGAAAGAATTTTATTAACTTTGTGTTACTGTAATCATGTAACAATACATAACAAAAAAGACTGTATTCTGATTCAGATTTTAGTAAGGACCCATTTTGATTAAATATTCTAAGTCAGCCAGAATTAGAAAAAAAAAATTTCTGACAATGTCATAACAGATCTGCAGACATTAACAACTTATAACTGTTCTCACAGAGTCCAAATATCAGCTTGGCTTCTTTGTACAATAAGACAAAGCTAACAGTAGTATTTTAAAAATTCCCATATAGGCAGTCTTATAACTATGTAAATAACAACAGTAAACTGCAGGTATATACTTTTTGCATCAAATCAGTGTTGATTGAAAACAGTGATGACTTAAAATCTCAAAAACAATTTTTGTATTATTCCTTCTGAGAAATCCACTCTGCCCGGATCATCAGATAACCAAATACGTCAACCATATTTTTTGTAACCTTGTTTATCGAAAGATGTGATAAGGATGCCTAATTTAAAATGGGTGCTGTAGATAATCTAAGTATTAACAAAACAGACCATTTAAGATGTATGGGCAAGAAAACAAATTATATAACAATGAAAAAAATAAAAATCCACATAAAATATCTGTATATACATAAATCTTCGATTATTAACAAATCATGAGTAGTGATATTGGTAAGTAAGCTGCAGTGCTCGTAGTTTTAACAATTAATTCAGGACATCTTACGACACTGTAACCAGATGATTGTGAGTGTCTGATCAGCCTATGTTTTCACACAATTACTTTATTAAGAGTTGACTGTGATGTGTTAGCTACGCTAAGTTACTTTATGTGATTAATATGACAGTTATGTGAACATTAAACATTTTTATGTAAAAGATAAATTTCTTAACATACAACAAGGATGGAAGAATATACTCCAATTTTGAGTGTACATATACCAAATGCTCTCTTTGTGACTGCTAATTTCAGTGACCTTGATATTAATTTATTGCAATTACATGTCTAGTGTCACAAACCTAGATTCATTGCCTAACAGTCAAAAAATATATTTTCCATATATTTAATTATTTACTATATAGAAAAAATCCAACTTTATGTAAAATAGGGGTAATACATGACATATATAACTAAAATTAAATGTGCCATACAATTTTTAGTATACAGCCCTCAGTATCACACTTAAAAGAAATCTATCCTATAATTTGACATAAAACAGTATCTGGATATCATGACTTCCCCAATGTGTGCTCTGACAAGTTACCAATGGACTATAATAACTGCTAACCGCAAAAATAACCTCAAAACTTGTGTTGCTTTGCTGGTTTTTTAAACCAAGGTATCTTAGTAACCGAGTCTTTGTTCTTATAAAAGAATTATTTAATAATGACAAAGTGTATGTTACAAATTCCTGTGTGAACCTAATAATTAGTACAGTAGCTGGAGCACTAAACAAAATTCAAACAAGTTGGGTGACGGACATAGATCAGGATGGTATAATACAGTACTAAGAAATTATTTTTATGTCTGTCATGGCAGCACATGCCATAAGCACTAGGATACTCATTTCTCTACCTGATAAAAGTCAAGCAGGTGGCAATACAAAATAAACATTCATTCTCTTTACAGCAATAAGTCTAATGGCTGGTTACTGTAATACGTAGAAAGAACTTGTAATCTAATCAGCAGGTTTACTATCATTTATTAGTTTCATTCACCTATTCCTATGGTCAACACAAATTATTCATAACACAGCATGGCTCAAATGTAATTTTTGTCACTCAGAACTTCAACATTATCCATTAATATCTTGCTGCCAAAATGTTAATACAAATAATTTATTTTGCAAGCACAATCTTGCAATCTGCTCAATATTGTTTAGTCTTGAGAAATTAATTTTATAAAAAAATTAGTGTGCTGTGTCCGACTGAATACACTGGAAACATGCAACAAACCACAATATGCACATGCAACACAAATACAGTTACAGTTTTAAAATAACCTGTCAAATAGTTTAACCCTCTGCTCCACGATAACATTTTACTGCCATAAATCAACTGTCATCTCTAATTATTATGTGTATATTATCTGCCCAGGACGACAAACAATAAAGTTTAAAAAACAACCTAAAATATATGGTGTTATGGGGTCAGTTAGGACCCTACCTCTTCGCTCTTAATAACTTCCTTAAATTCCCTCTTGATTCTCTGAGCAGCAATATTCGCCATGTTTCTAGGTCAAAAATTATCTAACGCATTGCTTCTACACGTCCAAGTTCCTATTGCTGCAATATTAGACTTCTACCACTAACTTTACCATACTAAATGTTCGATTACAATTGTTATGCTTTTACGGTCTACTGGATACCAATGGTAAGTTATCTATGATACTGTTTGCCTGTTCATACAATAATTCTAAATGAAAAGCAGGGGGATATCCTCGGTCGGTCAATAATTTATCCACATCGTTTTAACTTTAACCATTAAGTTATTCTCGTATATTCATGAGGAAGAGTATGAAAATTCCAACGCAAGGTTCTCATCAACAAAACATGACCATAGTTCAATCGAAAACGTTCATCAGGATATGATGTAAGCCTTTTTCCGCTGTAATCTGATTGGTTGTGTATGATGTTTTTGCAGTAATGCCCGTCGTGTCAGATCCAGTGCGAGCGAAAGCTTTGATTCGGTTGGAATTGGGAAAGCCGAGTTCATTACTTCGAAGTAGAATGCCTAACATTAAAGTTTTTAGTGGTACATCGCATCCAGATCTCGCACAAAGAATTGTCGATCGATTGGGCATTGACTTGGGGAAAGTAGTCACCAAGAAATTTAGTAACTTGGAAACATGGTAAGAAACGTGTATGGTTGAAAATAGATAGGTGCATTTAGCATTTTATAGTAATTCTTTGAATGAAATTGTTCTTTGGTGTATTGTTGCTTTGTATTAATATTATTGTTTGTAATAATAGTTGCTGAATGTCGTGTTTTCATCAATTATGGCAGTATTAAATAACTGATTTGTAAGTACCTCGTGGAGATGTAATTTACTCAAAAATTACGCACCGAACCGAATATCATGATATTGTGATTCAGACTTTTTATATTGGGGAGAAGATATTTGACTAGCTTAATTCCAGTATAGTGAACTGCATTTTGATGTTTACTAAATTTAGTATTTGACGCCTGAAGATTATATCTGTATCTTGTACTTAAATTGTGGATTTCTGAGTTTGCTTGAAATTTTTATATGTTGTCCACTACAAATGATGATAATGAGAGCAAGAATTCACAGGCTAGTGGAAGAATATTAAATTTCATACACAATATCTTACATGAGGCTTTTCTTTTTTAATGTAAAATACCTTCTTGCTGTCTTTTGAGTTTCACCAAAAAGTAATTCAATATGATATGACTCCGTGGAAGTAAGCAAAGTAGATCAATTTTAAAGTTTCTGTTTTCATGAGTAATGTGGCAGCCTCATAGCAGAGCATGCTAGGTTCATTTTAAAGGTTTTAGTGTCTGCTTTTTAATGGAGGAGTATAAACTAAGCCTAGAAGTCTTCTCTAGGTATATAGCTGCCTTTCTCTTACAGTGTCGAAATTGGGGAGTCTGTGCGAGGTGAAGATGTATATATTGTGCAGAGTGGGAGTGGTGAAATTAATGACAATTTAATGGAGCTTCTTATCATGATTAATGCCTGCAAAATTGCTTCAGCATCACGTGTGACCGCTGTAATACCCTGCTTTCCCTATGCAAGGCAGGATAAGAAGGATAAGGTATATAATAAACTCATTTTCTCTGTTACGTAATTTCCATTTTTTTTTTGAGGTCTCTCAGTTCGGGTTCATTGTAGATGTCATTGCATTTTGAGAAAAATGAAATTTACAGCAGGATTCAAACTTGTCTCAGCTTTGCAGTAAGTCATGGGCCATAATTTAGAGAAGTAGTTTATAATAATGTTTCGTAGTGAGATTTCAGGTTCTCATGCCAATGAGTATGAAGTTGGCTGTCTTCTGGGACGTTGCTTCACGTAAGCAGGTAGATATTGATTGACTTTCAGAGGAACTTACTGCCTCCAACTTCAGGGTGATCATACTCCTCATAGTGAGACCCTGAAATCCCTCTGGCACAAAACTGTTTTTTTAACATTGTGTGCCTAAGGATCAGGCCTGATGATGGAGGCAGTAAGCTCCTCTGAATTTTCAGTCAGTATCTACCAGCCTACATGGTGCAACATCCCAGAAGACAGCCAGCCATCTTTATTTCATAGTGAGATAACAAGAGAACTGGAATATACTGTGGTCTGTTTCCATTTGCTTTGTCAAGAACATGTGACATTAAATGCTTAGTGGAGTGATGTTATAGCAAATACACAAGAACATCATAAATACTTAAATATACCTAAGTAAAATTTGGCGAAGTACTATTCCACTCATTTATTGCATTTCAAAAGTAACAAAAGGACTGAAAAATGAAAGACAGTAACTGTTTACCATTTTGTTTCAGAGCGTAACACATCCACCTTTCTTATCTCCTTTTTTTTTTTTTTTTTACTTGTGTTTCGGTTGTTTCTCTATATGGTATGGTATATTTATAGTGTGTGTTATAGCAGACATATGTGTCGTGTGTTCTTTCTTGACTGTGTATGGGTACAGGATCATGTTCACTATGAATTAGTATTCAGATGTGGGTATAGCCAAGCAGTGTTAAGTGTCAGTTTCTTCCACGATAGCTGGTTTGCTATAGGTAGGTGTACAGCCCATTTATCTGTTGGTGAATATTAAGAATCAATAATTGTACAACAGAAATGTTTAAATTCTGTGGTATAATTTCAAGCTGTTGTGAATCTTGCCACTTACTGCATAGTCATTACTACCCATTTGTGTATTTTAATATAGGACTTGTGTATTTAATGGAAGCATATAGAAAACTGAATGTAATACCTTGTAATGGGGTGTCTTTATAAATTTTTCTAGGAAGTGGAATTTAAAAATGTAGGACTGTTTCAAAAAGAGAGGTTACTTGTAGTTTTAAATGAAATTGAGATTTTAATTCTAATTCTACTGTTTTAAGGTGGTTCTGAACATGTATTTGAGGTTTATTCTCAGATGAACATGTAGCTGCTATAGGAGAATTAAGGGTTTGTATGGTTTTCATTTTTATTGTAGGGGTTTGGTTCTGTTTTCAAGATGATATATATGTTCTTTGAAATTTATTTTGAAATTGTCATTTTGTTAAATGTAAGTATAATATTTACAAAGATTTGTGACTGGTTGTTTGTAGTAATTTCTGTTAGCCTTACATTACTATATTTGCTAATAGATGCTTTGTTTCGGCCTTGGACATTGTTGGCTAGGAGGCTTTGCTACTCTGCTGACCTTTGATTCATTTCTGGATGTTTATATATAACAATTTTTTTTGTGATATTTGCCAAATTATATGAAACTGTCACTTTTCTTAATTTTTGATAAGGTGTTAGTGTGCATTAAGCACAGAATGAATAATTTTTGGTGTTTTGTATTCATTTGAAGAGCCCAGTTCCTTAAAATTCTGTTTGCTGATTTTTAATGACTGGAGTAGCAAATCAGTCTGTATATGTAGGAACCAGTAACTAAAGAATTCTATAATCTCAAGGTAAATGTTAATTAGGATCTTGTACTGTAACATATAGACTGGGCTTTAAAAATTCTTACTTGTCAATAGGATAGAACATGTAAACTGAATATGAGAACATGATGGTAATTCGAGTCCTTGCACTATTAGCCAACTTTTCCCGTTTAAAATAGGATCAGGCGTTGATGCATTCCCTTATTACAAACAGATTTTCAGTGATAGTTTTACAAATGTTTAAATCAACTTTGAACTTGCTCATATCACACAGTCATGTATATAGAAATTACATGTTGCTTGCCTCTCCGTCAGAAAAGATAAATTACATTTTAAAAATTTAAATGTTAAAATTTTACATAATTCAATTTTAAACAAAGTAATGCCTTCTTTTTCTGTCACAACACTTATTTCAGCACTTTCAGTGGCTGCATTGTTTAGAATTGTGCCTTACATGAATTGTTCTCTAATTTTATTGACATAATTTTGTTGTTATAATACATTTAGACTTTGGGTACCTTTCAGTTGATATTTTTAAGTAAAGACCATATTAGTGTTTGTAGCTGTATTGTAAACTCTTGTAATGTCACAGGCTGGTGGAGATGGAGAAGGTACTGGACATGAATTACCAGTTTCCTTCACAATGAAGGTCAACGAATGGAAGTTCCGGGTAAATTTTACATGTTCACTGAAATCGTATTACTTTTACAGACGGGAACAGATCCGGGCAGCAGAGGCAGAGTTCGATTTGGAAATAAATTCCATTTAAAATTATATCTGTACATTAATATATGTATTGTGGAGACAGTTATAAACATACGCTATCTAACTTTTCTTCATACATATTATCTGCAATAAAACCTTTATGTAGTAAAATTCTGGGAACCAAGATTTTTGTATCTTATTGTGTGGAAGCTCTTTATACATACCATATTTGAATATATTACATTATGTCCTTTCTGAACCCATGAACTTTGTTACGAAATGGAACACAAATTTATTGTTCTGATATTTTCAGTATGATGTTAATTGAGCATATTTGTTATGTAATGGAATATGTGAATCTATTTTACAAATAATATAGTACTAAATTCCATAATCCGAATATAGTGTGAATTATAACTGTTTTATATTATTTTTATGTTTCGGAGCTGAAATTATTTACTGTTTTCCATTTGCTCAAATGAATAACTCTTAGATCGTTCATATTGAGGTAGTATGAATATAATGTCTTTAGCACTGTACTCAAATCGAACTCTGATGTATGAGAAGTGATAAGAGGGGTAGAAGAGAATGGGAGAGAATTTAATTACGGAGTTGGGCCTAACATAATTTTAGACAGGTTGTGTAGAAATTCTTTGGGCCTGTATCTTAAAGTCACTGGGAAGCATCTGCTTATGCAATTTTCTTTGATGTCATGGTTGAACTTTGAACATATTGTTTTCTTGTTCAGCTTCTGCCCTCTCGTCACTTATCTCCTGCCTCTATTTAGCTTTCTCTTTTTCCTATGCAATTGATAAACAAGTTGGTTAGAGATTTGGTTTCTATACCAGAATTTAATTACTGACCCCTGAGACTTTTGTTATCATGATTATGTAGGGTGTTCTTTAAAGACTTTATTGCATAGTAACAACAAAATGTGTTTTACTGGAAGTAGAATTTCTGTATACAGATTCTACCACAAATGTGAATTTGTTTGTATTGGTTTGTTAGATACACATGTAACATACAGTCTTTGTGGAACATTGCTTTCATTTGGGGATGTGGCTTTACTGCTTGCGGATCAGTAGTTTTTGGGGTTTAAGCTGCATTTAAGATGTACAGTAAACAGAATGTTTTATTTGAATACTCGCATTCACGAAAAAGTATGTAACGCCAATTAACCGTCTTGTCAACACTTATTTATAGACTCATTATTTGTTAATTATCACTGATTCTAAAGTAATTCATTGAATGTCTTATGATCTTGTGAAATTCACACAGGCCTTCTGTCCTGTCGACCAGGTTGAAGATCCAGTCACTCTATGAGCTTGAGAACTTATGGGTCCAGTTGTCTTTGCCTTCCATCCCACAGTATTTTTGTCCCATCAGATCATAATAACTTCATTCTTAAAGATTCACGAAGCAAATGATCAGTCATTGGTGTTATTTCATATTTTCTGTTCATAAATTCACCTTGCTCATGACTCTGGTTCTGTAGCAACCGTTCTTGCTTCATATGAGGTGTTCTGAATATTAGGGATGATCCCATCAAATTTTTATCAGAATTTTTAGGGTATGTAAAGGCAGATAGATCAAGTTCCAAGAGTCTTGTTTTCCTTGAGTATTCTCTCATTAATACTGACACATTTTGGGGGAGATGATAATAATTATATCTTAACATCTACAGAGTGCTTTTCTGAAAACTTTTATAAACTACTTATCTTGAAATGCAGAATATACAGTCAGTTGCTTCTGCACATCTGAAAATGAAATTAATCCATGGACATTGAAATAAATCTGTAGGGAGCTGACAAATTAAAATATCTAACAGCAGAATATAAACAATCTTTTGTATAAATAATTTCACTTTTGTGGTTCTGTATATAATTATGAGCTGGGGTAGCTCAGTCAGTATAGTGATTGACTACGGACTGGACGACTGGGGTTTGATCCCCGATGGGCAGAGGATTTTTCCTCTAGCCTCTGCGTCCAGCCCGACTCTGGGGCCCATCCGGTGCCCTATGTAATGTATATCGGGTCCTTTCCTGGGGGTAAAGTGTGGCTGGGGCACAATGCTGACCACTCACCCCTATCTAGTGCTGAGGTTAAGAATAAACAGGAGCTATACCTCCTCTCCCCCCAAGCACCTACATGGCATATAGTGGTACAACTTTACTTGTATATGTGTATAATTCTTTGTCTCTCATTCTGTAGCTGTCTTGTGTTCGTAGAATAATGACCCAATTGTAAGATATGACAGAAGATGCAAACTTATTTGTCCTTGTTGTGTTATGTGTTTTCTGTAGGGATTTTTTTTCTGTTTACAAAATAAATATTCTTGATTACACTTGATAAGAATACTGTAGTAATAGGGGGCCCTACTACTATAATCTTCTTTTCAGTTCTGTCATTAACCTGCATAAAAGGAGATTCTTAATGTGATTGAATTTTGTATTTGCAGTTTTCTCCTTTGAATCAGAGAAATGCTTCTTTGTTTGGTGAAGTCGTGGTTATTTCATTTACAGATGTCATATAGCTCTGCAGTATTTTCCTGGGCAAGGCTTTCTTGGTGCTTTCATATGTACAATGTTGGAGATTTTAATTGTCCTGTGTGCAATGTATATATTTTAACAATTGGTATGTTATGATGGGTATTATACTGGATATGTGGGATTTTTGTGTTATATGTGAACGTCTTTTGTTGGAATTGTAGCCTCTTGGAAATTTGTTTGCAGCTGTTTTGGGTTAAGGATACGGATGCAGTGGTGTAATGTTTTCTGAATGAGATTTTTCTCTTTTTTATGAAATGAAATTTATGTGTGTTGTCTCCTAGTCTTTATATGTTATCTCTTTGACGTAATTTCGACATATGAGGTCAGAAGGTTGTAAAACCGGCTTATATTGTGCAACATTGTGATTGAATTCCTTCATACGAATTTCTTCACCAAGCATTTAGGTTCTTCTTCCAGTTCGAAGACATAATCCGATTTATTTGAATTGAGGCTCAGTTAATATAGCAATAGTATTCAGATGCTCCATTGCTTGGAGGCATTCCATTCATTGTTATTCAGCAAATCTGTTAACGTTTGTTTATGACCATGTTGCTAATTTTAGTCATGTGATGATTTTTAAATGATAATTAACAATTATCCCTACTGATGCATTTAGTACATACATACATTTGCTTCTCATACAATAAAAACTGAAAACCTGATACCACATATGTATATCACTATACATATGTAAAATATAATTGAAATTAAGTGGCAAATATGTATTACATTTCCCGGCCGTGCCAGTTTTAGGGTTACTCCACCTTAATCCCTGAATGTCATTTATCTCATTCTAGTAATTGTGCCCAGTTTTATAAGAATGTAAGCCATGAAGGTTGTGTGTTGTGAGCTTACTTGTGTATGATATGGCTTTTTATGTATGTGATATTCAAAACAGATGTGTTAAACCCTACAGCATAATACTTTTAAAATCCTTCAAATATGAGAGTAACCATGACACCATTTCACACATTCCAGGATTTTGTTCCTGATCTTACAACAGTGAGTATTTATGGCCTTATGGTGTGAAACAAAAAATACGATTGATTTTCCTTTATTTCCTGTATATTTATGAAATGAAATAATTGTAATGTTTGTGACTGAGAACTAACACACGTGATGTTTGACTGTATAATTGGAAAATCGAATGTGCCGGTCAATATTTCAGCTCTCTAAACCCATGTCAAAATGAAAATTACAATTTTTCAATGATACATTGGTGGCCATGGCAGTTTTACTCAGGGAGATGTTAGTGAATCATTGGCTATATATATGGTTAGAGTGGGCAAACCTGCAAAATTCAGTGTTAATGAGAGATTAGCATAAGACAGTCCTGTAAAGATGTCTCACGTGTATCTAGTCTTTAAAGTCTGATTTACTTATTTATTTTCGTATAAACTTGACATTTATTGCCATTGTGAAATTCTGGATCATGTCAAAGGTAGCTGGAGTACCTGACCTGGGGAACCTGAAGTAAATTTTGTTGTACTACTTCAGTACATGTAACATATTAGAACAGTACCTTAAAATGACTAGACGTTAGCTCATCAGATGCTGGATTGCCATACTCCTAACTCTAGATTATTTAACTGATGTTGTTATTTAAAAAAGTGCATCTGAACTGTTAATACAGTATAAATCATTGGTCCTTTGAAGTTGTCTGTTCTGGGGTGTTGTGCTGTGCAGTCTGGCAGAAGTTTACTGATGATGTAGGCAGCAAGCACCTTTGAAACACTGGTAAACTTCTACCAGGCTGCACAGGACAGTATAACAGAAGACAGCCATCATAGTTCTTGCAGCCATTAGAACCTGAAATCTCACATTAGTCCTTTGTACTTGGTAGAATTAATATATTTGCACGATTTAGACTTGTGTGGGGATTTGTTGGAGCATTTGTGTCTTTCACATTTGTTTCCTGTTTGCTGTATACTGATCGTGGAAAGAAATTTAATATGAATTAAAAATATAATTTTAAAATTTAGAAAAGAAGAAAGCATGTGCATTTTGCCATCTCTTAAATTTGGTTTACACAAGATTTCTTCAGCATTGGTCTCTTACATGATAAGTGAAAATACTGCTTACTTTTTTCCTCTGCATTGCTTAACATTAACATACATAATCTAGCGTGCTGTCTGCAATAATGTTTGTGGTAAGATTTCTCTTATTTGAACTTAATAATTGTGGGTATTTATGTGTGTTAAAGTTTGAATAATTTTTTTTTAGTTAAGACGTAAGAATGGTGTATGAAATCTGTCCTGCATTATGTGTTGCATAACAAGGTAATTTTTGTGTTGCTAGTGTTTTCTTTGTTTGATTTTTGCTTTTCACTCATTCATTGAACTAACCAGGGTGCATTTGCAACACTTCATTAGTTTTTGCACTTTTTCATCCATGTATTGATGTGAACTTTCTCTTCTTTGCTGCTGTTTATGTGGCAGTAATGCCTTCATATCATGTACATCCTCATTTGGAATCTTTTAGTTCGCCATTGCCCTCTTTCCTTTCACTTTTATCCAGTGTTTGTTTTCCTGCAAGGAGGGCCGGTCGGGACAGCTAAGCATATTTTGCTTGTTTTGTGAGTAGCGTTGCAAATGGACCTTGGAATGCTACTATGTAACGTAGTGTGCATCTTGTATTTCTGTTTGACAGAGCCGTGCCCCTATCTCAGCCAAGCTTGTAGCCAACATGCTTTCTGTTGCTGGAGCTGATCATATTATCACAATGGACTTACATGCGTCACAGATCCAAGGTTTCTTTGATATACCAGTAGATAACCTGTATGCTGAACCCGCTGTTTTAAAGTGGATAAAGGAAAATATTATTGAGTGGCGAAATAGCATAATTGTGTCACCAGATGCTGGTGGTGCAAAAAGGTATGTTGTTAAATATTAAGTTGCTCTTTAAAATTAAAAATGCAGAGAAGTATGTGCGTTGAACTTTAATTTTTGTTTTCTCTGTGTGATATACTAACTGCAGTTTTCTGCCATCTGTGATTTAGAATTCTTTATGCAACATATGTTATATTTTGTTTTTGTTGCCGCAGAGTAACGTCGATAGCAGATCGGCTTAATGTTGAGTTTGCCCTGATCCACAAAGAACGTAAAAAGGCTAATGAGGTAGCATCAATGGTTTTAGTAGGTGATGTTAAGGACAGGGTGGCGATATTGGTAGACGATATGGCTGATACATGTGGCACAATTTGCCATGCAGCTGAAAAGTAAGTATTTTTTTCCCCATGGTTTTATATACCTTTATGTGAAGAGAAAGCTTTCATACAATAAAACATTAATATTTTAATTGTTGTTAGAACAACTGTCTCATTTGATGCATGCATTTTCATTCACTTAAAAAAAATGTCAACACAGAATTTCAGAATATCCGCAGATGCTTTTGTGAATCAGAGTTCTTGATTCAAATTTTTACTATTTGGTCACATATTTCACACATTTTGGTTGAATGGGTGTGAATTTGTGTTAAGCTGTGTGAGTGCTTATTATTTCTCTATTCGTCAGCTAGCATCTTCTAACCTTTTGTGTTTGTGTCAGATTACTTGAGGCTGGTGCAACAAAGGTATATGCCATCTTGACTCATGGTATTTTCTCTGGACCAGCTATATCAAGGATCAATAATGCATGCTTTGAAGCTGTTGTTGTTACCAATACAATACCACAAGAACAGCATATGAAAGACTGCCCCAGGATACAGGTAATATTGTTATTTTATTAAACTTTACTTCTGAAAAAGATGTTATGATTTTCATATGTAAGAAAAATATTCTGCATCAGAAGCAGCAAGCCCTTTTTGAAAACACTGTCATTTGCAAAAATCCTTTCACACCAATTCAAAATAATTGGCATTGGGTGAAGTATTATAAACACTTGCAGAATTAACCATATAGTTGAGCAGTTTAAATGTGATGGCTGTTTACAGGCGGACAGACAAATGACCTTTCAAGGTGAGCAGTCCATGAAACATGCCATTATCAGTATATGTAACTGTGTAGCATGCCGTTATGTTCCAAGTCTAGTCTGAGAAGTAGACATTTTCTAAGATGTTGCATATTGTAGAATAATTTTAAACCCTACAATATGTGTGGGTTATTTTTCATAGACATCTGCTCAAAGTATCCGTCCTGGGCATTGTCATTGTGATGTGGATGAATTAGGGTGTGAAAGTTCTTTTTGGAACATGAAATGAGTAATTGTAAGCAAGTTTTTGTGAAGTTGTGTTGGATCATCAAAAGTATTTGTCCACCATGTGCCATCAGTCCTCTCCTCCCCAGCCTTTTCCTTAAGATGTTAAATATTTGCTGAATTTAACATTTTCAAAATGTTTGTTTCAGTGTATCGACGTATCCATGATGTTTGCAGAAGCTGTGAGGAGAACTCACAATGGTGAATCTGTGTCATATCTTTTCTCAAATGTTCCTTATTGAAAGACTCATTAGTGAAGCATTCACAGTTTTTACACCTCCGTCTGCTTCGTTAATAAACCGGGCAACTGTATGCTTGTGGGTTGTTATACTTTTTAGTCAATCAGTCATATGTGTACACAAGAATCTCAGCTGTACTACCTGCATTTCTATTGGATGTTGTTGGATAAATATTGTACCTATATTTAACTTCTCCCATGCAATAAGACAGCATAGTCTGGATTATGCAGTAATGAATTGTGAAGTTAATAATTAACAATTTTTTGTTGAATTTGATTCTAAGTAAAAAATGCATAGTTGCAAACATATTATTCTTTCCTTCATGGGTTCTTAGGCCGAACTACTCTGATCGGGAGTAGAATCGAGGTCTGTACCAGTTATCCACAAGTTTGTTTTATACAGAAATTTTTGCAGTACTGCTATAATTGTGACCATGCTTACTCATAGTGCGAAGATTGCAATGAAAGTTATAATTTTAAGCCTGTAGAGTAGATGATTGCCATTATATTCTTATAAGGGCTACATATATCATACAGTACTAAGTGAAAGACAGATGGTCTAGATATGCATCTACAATAAAATAATTTAATTGTTTCACCTATATAAACATCAGATATTATGATGGAAACAGCCCTTAAAATATAACTGAAACTTACATTCAATAGAAATATAATATTGATTGAAATGAAACTTTGTGAGGTCATGGTTTATGTCAAAATGTATGTGTTACAAATGTCAAATACATCATTTTGTAGTAATCGGTCTCCCTTAAGATTCTGTGTGATTCTTCCAGTGAGTTGATGTGTTAGTTACGCCTCATCTTTTCTGCGTACAATTCACATTGTCACCTTGTGGATCTTTTGAGTACTGTGCTGGTGTAGTTAATCAGAGCTGGTGATGTAATCTTAGAACTGAGATGTCATACATTGATACAGAGATGATTTGTTAAACATATTGATGTAGCCATTTAGAATTTGGCTATCTTCTTGTGTTACATTTGACAGCCAGAAATGTTTCATTAACATTGCAGTTTTGCATTAGAATCTGCATGTGCCATTGCTCTAGTTTTACAGACTTAGTTCATATATTATTAAAATGAAATGAAAGGATTTTATTTATGAATTGCCTAGAACTATGTAACAGATTTTTATGGTAACAGAGGATAAGTTTGTGCAAATAATTGCCAAAACTAGATTTATATCCTGGCATAGTCTGCATTCCTACATGCTGTTTCTGTGAAGGCTTATGTTCACCATTTTGAGTATTCTTACAGACATATAGTTTTAACTGAAAACATTTGTAAAGAACTCAACAGGAAGGGATTAGAAACAGCTGGAATTGTTTGCGTGAGAAACATGAAGTTCACTGAGTGCTTACAGCTGAATTTCTGTGATACAAATTTGATCAGAATCACACGTTTCTGCACACTGACTATATGAACTCAGCTGCTGCTTCATATTTAGTAAACTATTCTAAGAGATGGAGACATAAGGGATTTCATATGTGCTCTGTGTGACCACAGCTGTGCCAAATCTGATTGATCACAGTATGACCTCTATTAAATTTTTTCTGTGTCTGTTATACTTCGCATACTTGTTTTTAAAATAACTTCTTTTTGAGTTATAAAGGAGCTTGGGTAGCTCAGTCAGTATAGTGACTGGCTACAGACTGGACAACTGCGGTTCAATCCCCGACAGGGGGAGAGGATTTTTCCTCTAGCCTCTGCTTCCAGACCAGCTCTGGGGCACACCCAGCCTCCTATCCAATGGGTACCAGGGTTCTTTCTCAGGGGTAAGGCGTGACCAGGGTGTGATGCTAACCACTTACTCCCATCTAGTTCCAAGTTTAATGAGTTGGAGCCATATATCCTCTTCCCCCCAAGTGCTTACATGGCATATAGTGGGACAGCATTACTTTTTTATGACATTTAACATAAAATCTTCTTGTCAAAATATCAGGCAAATCAAATCTCAGAATTTCTGTAGCTCTCTAACACAGCTGTTTTAAGTTTAGTACCCTGGTAGGCATTTATCTTTGAGGCACTTGTGACTGATCATAATCTGCTAAAATCTGTACTCTGTATAGAGAAATATATCAATGAAATACTTAATTTTTAACATGATTTATTTGGGAAAGTTTAGGGGATTCATAATAGTTACTTTATAATAAAAATATTGTCCTAAAATGTAATTTTTAAGTAAATTTTGTTGTATATATAGCCTTTGACATGCAGAATAATTTGTTCCCAAATCTGAGACTTTGTGTATTAAAAAGTGTGATGATGCAGCTTATCATTGTAGACTACTTTTAATTACCAAAGATGAGGCTGTAATGTCCTCCTCCGAGGACTAGCCAGCCTACTTTGAATGAAGCATTTTTTAGATTAGTTTGCTCTTAGAATGTTGGTTCATTTTCAGGATGGTTAGCTGTCACATATGGTGGCATGGTACAAAATGGATACTCTTTGTGGTGAAAGTACATTAGTTGATAAATAATTTGGAGTGATCAGGGTTCTGTTCCTCCACACCTCACCCTAATGAAGACCGAGCTGCAGTGAGTTTGTAATCCTTATAAAACAGTAATTGAATGTGGATATGGACTGTCTTATTGTATTTTTGAGCACACTGCAACTCGCATGTGAACATGTGATGTAGGTTCCTTGGTAACTAGCAGATGATGTGTTTTTGAACCCTTGTGTTTGGTGGAAAAAAGTATCATATTACAAAAAATGTATTGAAAGTAGAATATGAAATTGCCAAATAAAGTCCTTTTTTTTAATATTGCTGTTTTCTTCACCCTTTTTATAATTCAAGGCTGTAGTTGTGATGTGAAAATTTTCTAATTTGTAGTCAGATTATGTTTTTAAGTGTTGAGAACTTTTGTTTACTTAAGATGAAACACACAAAAATGTGGACTGGATCTGGAAAATGACCTATGTGAATGGCTCCAGTTACATGAGAACAGTCTTTGGTCAGTGACCTTTGATCCCCTTGCCACGGCACCTCTGCACATACCAGCAGCACCGAAGACCAATATTTGACAGATGAAAGTAGGAAGTTCTGAGAAGTGGATTTTTCTTTGCAGATTTTGTAGTATTACAAGAGTTGCACTAAAGTCATAGAGTGCAAAGAACAACAAATTCAGTCACTTTTATTTATTGCATCAAAATCCCAATGACAGTCTAATAATAAAGCATAAAAACACGTTCTTACTGCTATTTCTCTATATCACAAGATATGCTCAAAAAGTCATATGTTCTTATGGAAAGTGGTTGTTAAAATTGTCCAATCTAAATTAAAATTTTAGTGGCTGTAAAATTAATGAGTACCATATTTGTTTTATCTATTTTTGAGATGTTTCATACATACAGAGACAGATGGGACAATTTTAATAGCCACTCCCAAGGATTGTGAATGTACCTAAAACCCATTTTTTCAAGTACAGTGAACACATGAAAATGACATCTTCAATAACAAATAATAAAAATGTAGGTCTGAAAATCATCAGAACACACCAACTATAATAATAGATATGTACATACAAATAACATAATAAATAAATAAAAAAAATCCACAAATAGACTAATCTATCTGCAATAATACTGAAATTCATCCATCTCATTTGGTGTAAAGAGCTCAATTAATTTGTCCAACTTCTTGTGGCCTGTGTTTATTGCTTCTTTATGCCTGGTGGCAGAGTGACATCAAAAACTATGGGATGATTTGTTGGAAGATAACTAATGTCACAAGTTGATGCATTAATGTAGATAATTTTTCCATCAGTCGATATCCCATATCCTATAAAGAAAATACATTACTGAATGAATGTGTTCCATGATTATTACATATTGAAATTATCAGCATGAAGTTTGCCATGTGCGTAATGGCTGATTTATGGATGCACTCTCTTCCATATTAGAGTTTAAATGATTTGTGATTGGTGTCCATTAGGTGTCCTTTTTTCTGAAAAGCACTTTGAGTGTGTATGTAGTTTATAAAAAGTACAGTTGTCTGTCTTGAAACTGGCCTACAAAAGGAAGCAAGAGTGTTTTCTTTAAAACCAAAGATGAGCCTTTGCTTTCCGTAAAATAGTAATCTTTTTAATCAGCTACATGAAACAGCAGCTTAAAGAAGTCCCTGCACTACAAAATTAGTTATGAATATGAATTTTCTGTGATGTGCTGTGTAGTCTCATACAAACTGGCTGACTACCTCCACCACTGACCTAATGATGGAGACAAAAAGCACCTTTGTAACATGAGTCAATTTCTATGATACCACATGATAGAAAATCCCAGAATATAGTCATCTTCACACTGGATGCCAGGCCCAGAAAATACATTCTGACTGTATGGTGTATTTAATCTTTTACGCCTTACAAGTGAAAAATTAACCCACCTTCATGGATATGCCCAAAAACGTGATACTTTGGTTTCACTCGTTGCTGCACGGTTGTTAGAAGCTCGACACATCCTGCCCGAACGCCTGTGCAACACAAATCTCCGTGCCCTACAGGTGGTGTATGTGTCACCAATATGTCTGTGTCATCAGGAATTTTGTTCCACTTGCCCAAGCATTCTTCACCTCGTGGGACATTGAAAGCCCACTTGCAGAACTCTGGTTGCCTGACACCAAAAAATAAATAAAAAAAAGTCTCAGTTTGGACATCAGATGTCTACAATAGGTCAACATTTCACTTTCATGTACAATTTAAAATTACATGTCCTCATGGTTCATTGTTCTTGCTTTCTTATCAAGTGTAACATCTGTAGAGGTCACCAAGTAACTCCATATAACAGTCATTCTTGAGAAGCTAACAGTCACTCAGCTAGTCAAGACATTTCCTGATATGTGCACATAGCTAAAGATGGGTAATATTCTATAATGTGCTTGTTAATCTACTGTCATGCAAACTTCAATGGATTTCAATTACATTACAGATGATACATGCATGCATTTTATTTACCATGGAGTACCATAAATTTTGAGCCCATATAATATAACTTCACTGTCTTCCAGGTATATGCAGTTTGTAAGATTATCCCTGACATTGGGTGTTTGAACAGCTTCTGTGATTTTGTCTTTTGGAATACCCAGAGTTGGTATCTGGTCGACAAGGCTCGGACCAGTATGGGTGGAACGGTCACTAGGACTCTGCCTTAATGGATGAGTGAAAGTTTTATCAAAACTCAGTTCATGATTTCCTGCTATCACAATCTTATGTTTGTGTGGTAATTTACCTGTAACATTGAACACAGAATTAAGTAGTCATGTGATATTTTGATAATTTTTTTTTAAACAAGAGGCTGTGGATATGGTATGGCAATTCAAACAATCATAATCATTAGTGTTATCTTCAGTAATAAGGAGAAAGAGACAAAGTCAACAGAATTAGCCCACTTTGATGTTCCTCAGAAATAGATACAAAATACTTTTTATACTTTAACCTGCAATCTGTCTTCACACAAAGTACTTGCGATCAAGTGACTTTTAGTCAAGAAAACACTTACAGAAATCTACCACAAGTGACATGGCCAAATTATTTTCAGCAATACTACCATTTTACAATTACAAGTGACATGGCCAAATTATTTTCAGTAATACTACCATTTTACAATTTCTCTGTCAATGGGCTAGGTCCTTGAGTGGTACGCAAAGTCTTTCCTATTTCAATTCACGATTGAGCACCATACAACAGACATCACTGTACGTTGTTATTTCGCAATTACTTCCACTCTACCGTGCTCAGGCACATGATGGAAAGGGTGTCCCTGTTAAAACCACACAAGTTCACAACTCCATTTTTATGAGAATCATACTGGCCAGCTTCTGAGCAAGTCAATAAGAGACAGTGAAGGTGTGAGTGTGGTCTTCTGGGTTGTAATGCCTTGTGGACTTGGGAAGATGGAGGCTGTGTTTCTGTAAAATGTTAGTGTCTACCTACAAGCTTACAAAGCCTTACTACCCAGAAGGCCAACACTGAAAATTCAATACATATATTTCAATATAGGCTTTAAAGGCAAAGATAGAATTCCTCCATGTCTAAGTCAAGTGTACCTAGAATCTGGATAGGCAACACTGCTATTCTGGCATGGTAATGAAGAAAAACATCATGATCACCCCTGCCACAAATAAAACCCCAATCATCCAGATCAAAACCAGACATGAAGAGTCTTAAACTTAATAATCTGAAAAGGAAAGCAGTCTTACCAATCCATTCATTGAATTCAGTAACCTCTTCTTGCCGTCCACACCTTGTGAAGTCGCCAGCATGTATGAATATATCTCCATGTGGAACATCAAATTTAATATGTGGAGTCATTGAATGCGTATCACTCATACATACGATTCGAACCTGGAATATGTATTGATAAATCACTGGCATCTTCATGGATTACAAAAAGATATTAAAGCGAGGAAGAGAAAAAAACATTGAAACCAAAATGTAGGTCAGTCACATATAGTCTTAATGGTTCAACCCATGACAATATTAGTTTAATGACCTGCATTCCTGGTTAAAGACAGACTGAAGCATTTTTTTTTGCACATTTGTTCATGCAGAGCTGGGACATCTGAGTCCAAAAAGTGGCAGAATACCAAATGGGGTCCAGGGTTTCATAACCAGCTGAGGCATGAATTTACATTTTGCCACCGTACTGAAATCCCTTTAATGGAAACATAACCAATGGATACTGAAAACTGTTTTTCTGGAGATGAAGCTGACCACTTATTTCCATCTAGTATGTGTTGCCCACATGCCTGTTGGCTTTCAACAAGTAGTGCTTAGGCACAAGGAAAACTTCACCTTTTTATGATATAATGGACACCACAGTTATGTATTATAAAATGAGAAATAGTTGCATGAAGATAAATGGCAAGTTGGGAGGATCATGGAATTACTCTCTGAGGCTGGATTTTGAGCCAGATACATCTCAAAGGTTGTCATTTACGAATTTTGGTTAAAGTGCAAATGATGATCTCACGCCCAATTTCTGATCAAATATTGCACTATCTGCTCTTCACACATACTAGTTTGTGTGCAGCAAGAAACCTACAATTCCAGTCAATACACAATTACTTCAAAACTACTGCCACATGAAAGGCAATACTAAATGCACGACTCACTTTATCATCTGCTACACTTAATCTGGGTGGGCTAACTTGCACTTTTATCACTTTTTGAATTTTGGATAGTTCACACCATGCTGCTGTGGGGTTATTCGTTAAATGATGAACTTCGATCTTCATTATTGTAACAAGTTAGGTTAGAACCACGGAGCAACATTAAAATTGTACATTGCACAACAATCAGATGTAGAGGTAAAATAAATTCTGTTTCTTGGCACACGTGTTTCAAAATGTTATAGCCACGCTAATCTTCCATATTTACGATTATGCATTTCTAAAAAGTCTTATTCTTGCCGGGCGCCATACTGCAGAATGCAAAGTGTCATCCATGGTAAAGCTTACAGACTAATTAAAAAAGTATCCCCAAAAAGAAGGCTAAAAGAATACGTATGCCAGTTTACCGCCGAGGCAAATATTTGATACTGGCAAGAGCAAATTTAATTTAAAGAGTAGCTCTTATATTATGAACTCATTTGAATAATCGCACAAGATTGTATGTCAGCACCATTTCAATCGCAAATTTATTTTAAGCCGTAGATGATCGTTTATATTTTAATTGTTAAATATCAAAAATGGGCTAATTTTCAGATGCCGATTAAATATTTTTTTATTATGTGTACGAATACGTTGATTACGTTTATGTTGATCCGTACTTTGCACTGTCTCCCTATTTTCGGGCACTGTTGGTGCTTTTTGCTGCACTTCCTGTGCACATTTAATTTTAAAAAATCAATTCAGTTTATTTAAGACATTAGTAAAATTACTTTTAACTTGCATACAAAATTATATTAGGTCGATATCAACAATTTGTATACCAACAGAGAAGCAAAAGCGTGAACAGGCGGGTTATCACGCTAGAAAAGTTTAAGATAGGATACGAAGAATATGGGTGTCTTCTGGGTTGTTACTCCGTGTAGTCTGGTAGGTTACCCATGTTTCAGAGGTCCTTGCTGCCTCCATCATCAGGGCTCCCTGATACTAATATACAGTGATTGACCTGATGATGGCAGCAGGAAGGACCTATGAAACATTGGTAAAATTCTACTAGACTACATGTTGTTACTACCAAGGACGCAGCCATCTTCAAATGCACCGCTTTGAAAACCACGAATCCTAATCAAAAATGCAAATTTAGAGTCAATTTCTGGATGTGAAATAATATTAGTATCATCCAAAAAAAAGTATGGGTTTCTTCTGTCATGAAGGTACAATGTATACCACTGACCAGCTATTTGTTTTAATTGCATAAAAATGTAGTTTTGACAGTAATAATTAATGATTTACACAATCAAATGCTTTAGAAAGATCACAAGATATTCCATTAACATGCGTTTTATTATTAAGAGCAGTTAAGATTTCATCTGTAATGTTGAAAAAGTCTTTTGAGTTTAGAAACGTTTTCTAAATCCAAATTGTTCACTTGCAAGGACACTATTTAAGTTTAAAAGTCACTTGCTTACACATGAGTTTCTCAAATATTTTATACTTTGGTGGAAAGAATGGATAGGAAGCTAGGTTAGTCAGGACATGGCAGCAAAAAGGAAAAATTAAGGAAATCTGTGTTACCTCTTTGTAATTTATTGTCAAATGGTTCTAGATGAACACACCCACATGGAGTACAAATAAAAAGCATCAAATAACACCAAATAATAATGTGGTGTCTTGAAAAAAATAACAATGTTTATCATTAAAATGACAAAAAGAGGAACGCTAATGAGATCGAATATACCCTCTTACAATTTTTATATCATCAACTGGTCTGTCATTTTTATCAGTTTCAACCAAACCTATTCTTTTCACCACATTCATTCCAGAATGAACACGACCTACGGAAAGCAAAAAATAACATTACAAATTGAACTGTAAGGACAGAAAAGGCATTACATGCTAAAAAAAAAATTCTAATGTTATTAATATTTTTTACGCTCTTGAATACAGATTAACAAACATATTAATGCACTATGCTGCTCCAACTAACAATATGTTTCCCTCACTTTGCATATATAAATATGAAGAGTTCTTAGTTCTTTTTACAATTTTCCTGTTTCTGTCAGCAACATTGTTTAATGGTAATATGACTGTGACAGAACACTGGAGAAATTTTAAAAATCAACGGCAGTAACCAGCACAGAATAATAACACAGGACAGAAAGCATAAACTGTTTCATAAAACTCATGGAGAAATTTGGCCTGGAGTGAGGAGCAACTTTAAGGTGGTCTTATCTGGGTATTTTCTGACTAAATGCATTGGAATCGAACCCATAAAACTTTGCATACATAAAAAAATGTAAAACTGAAATTACACAATTTCATAACATAATGATTCAGCAAATTTGATATTGTGGTTGGAGGTTACAATGAAACACAAGAGAGTACAAACTGACACATGAATTCTGGAAATTAATAGGAGTGTACATTAAAAGTTCCCACCCAGGAAAAAGAATAAAGTCCTAGTTTATAAAATTATCAAGTTTCATGAAGATGGCTACATTCTGGGATTATCACCCTGATAATGGGGGCAGCAAGCATCTCTGAAACACTAGTAGACTTCTATCAGACTACAAGGTGCAACATCACAGAACACAGTCATCTTCAAGCTCATTGCAGCAAGAACCTGAAATCTCACCAAATATAGTATGTTTCCCGTCTAGCCATTGTGTTGGAGCCAGTGTAATAAAGAACTGGGAGCCATTTGTATTTGGTCCTGAATTTGCCATAGATAATATTCCAGCACCTGAAAATTAAATTAAAGTAATAAAATGTTAACTCAAAATACTCTTTGCAACCACATTTTTCTTGCAACAACTTTCTTCGCTCTGTTCTTATGATGACATCTAACCTGTGTGTTTTAATTCTTCATGAATTTCATCTTCAAATTGTCTCCCATAAATGGAGGCACCTCCTTTCCCGGTTCCAGTCGGATCTCCACCTGCAATTAACATATGACATTAGTTTAAATTTCTCAGTAAAGTTTAATTAATATCCATCACAAGGGCAAGGGATTCTTTTTCAGGTATTTACATACAGTTTATTATGTTATGCTATGCGAGGATGAGGAATGGGTTAAAATGGTCTCAAATTTGCATTATACAGTGTTATTATTTTATGTTATCATACGGTGTGTTTGTATCGGCTTGTGCTTTAGTTAAAATCTGTAGTGAAATAACCCACCTTCACATTTAATATCACTTATTACTGACAGTGAGTGTATTTCATTTCATTTCACTTACTAGCAAAAGTTTCTTAATTTACCTTGAATCATAAAATCCCTTATAATTCTATGAAACTTGGTTCCATTATAGTAGTTTCTTCTTATAAGTTCAGCAAAGTTTCTGCATGTCATTGGAGCATGTTTCCAGTATAATTCAATACCAAGTTCACCCATCCTAAAAAGAGATGTGAATTGGAGAATGACAACAGTATTTATTTTCACTGCACATTGGCACAAAAAAGCACTTCAGATATTTCCATCCACTGCAAATACTGCCAGCAAGAGTATCACAAGATGCAGAAAACATTCCACATGTGTATACATTTTCTTTGAAATTTTTACATGAGAAGTGAGGTTTTCATGGTGGTGAAAATGTTGACTGGAGTCTTCTATGTTGCAATGTTTACTCCTACCCTAAATATAGTAATATACTTTTAGCTTTAAGAGAGGTGTCATGCCCATCCAAAACACTGCTAACCATCAACAAGACATACAGAGACATCATATCCCAGGCCATAAGACCTCTGAAACATCTGTATACTTCTACCAGACCCACATGGCATAACATTCCAGTAATTTTCCTAAACAATTTATAAAAAAAGTTTCTTTTAAGTCACTGTACAGAGAAAAATTATTGGCTCAGTCTACAGGTCGTGACAAAACAGATTGTCCTTCATGCCCACATATTCCTAAATATCTTTAATTTCATGACAACATCATGCACATAAGCAGAAACATGCAACTCTAACGTACATGGTTTCTAATACAACGTGAGGAGGCTGCCATAATTTATCAGGTATTCCTGTAACCGCAGACATAATTATTTATTCAATAATACTACTTTTGTGTCGAAAGGAAATACATATACACAAATATGCAATCGAAACCAACGTAAACAACGTCACCCACGCTCCACCACCTACCGCCGGTAACAGTACCGCTCATAATTTATACAAACATCTGTTTACAACATACATCCGCCACAGACAATACTCTTTACGTTGAAATGTGCTAATAATGAAAGTATGCTTTACCAGATGACAGAATGATAATCAGGACATTCTAACTTAATTTTTTTTTTCCAGATAAATATATTTTTCCAGTTTATTTGGAAATCCTATACAACGTCTTGGCCAGAACACATTTCATAACACGTATCTTATAGTATGTTGGCCGCATATACTAATTAGAGGCCAAGAGAGAAAACGTGTGGAGAGAAGTAGGGAGTACTCTGTGGCTACATAGTCAAGTGGATACAGAAAGCCGTGGTTTATTACATGGATGTACTATGTAATGGCTTATCAGTCTGGTGGGTTCCTGGCCTGCCGCAGTTTTACGCGTTTTTCATTAAAATGTATTCATTTACAACTTACAACTATGTAGACTGAAGATTCAGCATTTAAGCTTTGAATAGTAGGCTGGATGATTTTATGAATGCCAGTTATAGTGCCGGCGATATTAATTTGGTGTCTAGTCTAAATTGCCATGCTTGGTCAATTCAGGAAGGATTATGTGGCTTTGAATTTGCCTAGTACATCTGCGGATTCAGATATTAATCGGCGATGGCCAAAGAGACGTTTGTGGCGGGTATGTATCTGAAACCATTCTATTTTTGATGACAGTTCTGATTACATTGATTTTAATAGATTGCACCGACGGTATAAATTATGTGAATTGATGTCTTTAACTCTTGTTTTTACAGTGGTGGAACCAGCTTTCAAGATTTCAACGGAGTGTAGTTTACATGCTTATATTAGCAGCATGTCTTACAGCATTATACTTCCTTCCTGGAACTCAACCCATTTGGAGTCCAAATAATGGCAAATTAAATTCACTCCTGGATAAGGATAACATTACGCCTGCACTCTCATTACTTCCTCCTAAGAAGGCACTGCATTTGCTTTATTCTACATTAACTTTGTATAGGTTTTATATTATACTTAAGTCAGTCTACAGATGTTGATAAGAGTATTTGGATCATGTTGCAGATATATATACAACAAAGTTTGATTCTCCTCATAGATTAATTCCATGTTTTCTATTTCTAGGCACAACCTCTTGAGAACTCATTGGATAATGAGGAGCCTGTAAAGGACAGATATATGAATAATGATACTCAGAACAAGAAACCTGTGCTTAATAAAGGAAATTTGGACTTACATGGTGAAACAGTGACTAGTAATGTTGGTCAGATTCATTCTCCACCAAGGGAAGGAGTAAAATTTTCAGGTAAATTTATTTGTGGATAAAATTTCTACTTTTTAGACTAAAATTTGAAGTGATCTCCCCTTCACCAGTGTTTAAAAACCATTTTGTATGTGTGCATAGAAGATCTGCAATGACTAATAGGTACTTACTTTCAGTATTTTATTTATGAATTTGTGATTTGTTTAACAATGCTGTCAGTAGCTTCGACTGTACACACTGAATAATGAATTGGAAAAGATATGGAATGTAACAGCCATGGCTTAGTATAAGGTACTGTCCAAGTATTTTCCTGAAGAACCCCAGTCAGGATAGCTGGTCTTTGGGCTGATATTTGAACCCAGGACCTTCAAAAAACAAAGCAGGAGTAGTAACAGCTCAGCAGCGATGTTTGATATAATTTGAGTAGAACTTAAGTTGTACACAAGTAAGTTAATAGGAAAAAAAAGTAAAAACATAGAATCTTAATTAACAACTGGCAGTGATACAGTTTGTAGTTTGCATGGTTTTTATCAGGTTCTTTCTAGACATTATGGGATAGTAGTGCTATGTTTAAACTTTAGGAGTGCCTGTCAGCAAATTACGAGCTTGCGTACTGACGTAGTGATAACGTTTTAAGTGAATACTGTGTAAAGTAAGGCACATTTCTGATTGTTACAGGGCCTTCAAATGAAAGGCAGTCTGCAATTGTGGCAGCTTTTAGGCATGCCTGGAAAGGTTACAAGAAATTTGCTTGGGGTCATGACCACTTGAAACCCATTACAGGAACCTTTCATGATTGGTTCAATCTTGGGCTGACCATTGTAGATTCTCTTGATACTATTTATATAATGGGGCTTGCAGAAGGTAAGATCATTAACCTCTGGCTGTTTGACAAAAGTAATTTTGGTGTATTTTCACGTGATGAGAACTTAAAGTCTTGTTTGAAGTTTATTTACTATCTTCATTTGCCATAAAACCTATGGAAGCTATAGAAAAATCATAAAATTCCTTGTTATTATACAAAGGTTTTGATAGGTGACATTTGAATTTGTTCAAATACTGTAGATGGAATACATGTTCAGACTTTTTGAGATATCTGGCTTTAATGATACAAAGACGGAAATAAATGGCATACTGAGAAAATTGGTACTTATTTCTCAATCTTGTATCATTTGCAACACCATTTTATGGAACCCACATCACACCTGTTTTAGGAATTTGATTATAGCAAAGCAATCTACGTGTTTTAATTCAAGATTTAAGACGGTTGTTAATAAGACATGTGACGGTATGTCACATTTTTGCATTTTGTTAAATTTTCCAAGGTTGAAATGCAGTTTGTTATTTACTAGAGTTTGCAGAAGCAAGAGAGTGGGTTGCAACGAGTCTACACTTCGATGTGAATCGAGACGTGAATCTGTTTGAAGTAACAATCCGAGTACTGGGCAGCTTGCTGAGTTCGTATCATCTTTCAGGAGACAGAATGTTTCTTGACAAAGCAGTATGTATTTCAGTGAAAATATTTTAAGTATTATTTGTTGTTAATATCTATAATATTGAAAATTGTGTATTGGTTATATTATCACATAAAATGAACATAAGGTAAGTTTCTGATCACATGCTAACTGAAACAGTACATAGAAAATAGGAAACTTATTTTGTCTCGTACTTCAGTTTCTTTCCTTGAACGCAGATGTGCTGACTGAGGTTTTTCATGGTTTTGCTTTGTCCCTCCCTACAAATTCTGGGATAGGACTTATAATTAAGCTGTTACTGCTTCCTTCCTTATCCTTTAAAATTCATTATTCATTAACCATCAACATTTATCACTCAGTTTCTATCGTGTCATACTGTTATAAATGCAAGCTGTGAAGTTTTGTAACTGGATGAATTTTTTGTATAATGATTTGTAAAATTATTTTTCAGGTAGATCTGGGAACACGGTTGCTTCCATGTTTCAATTCTGATTCTGGTGTTCCATATTCTGATGTGAACCTTGCTACTCGTAAAGCGCATTCACCGAAGTGGAGTCCCGATAGCAGTACCTCGGAGGTCACGACGATCCAGCTAGAGTTCCGCGATCTCAGTCGATGCACGGGAGACCCACAGTTTGAAGTAAGTTCTGTGTGCTGCTTAGTTTTATTACTCACAGGAGCAAGAATTTTTCCCTTTGCTGATGCGTACAGACCAGCTTTGGGACCAGGGGCTCCTTCCCCAGAGTTCAAGCAGTTAGAGCTTGACGATGGCCACTCACCTTCTTCTGGTGCACACCCACCCAGGCACACAGCTTGAAGAAACAAACAGACAGACACGAACAGATGTTATTGGTGCCATTGAGAAATGTCGATGGTGAGGGTTCTGTTTTCACAGAACAAACAGCTTCATGGCTACGTGCACTACTTTGAAAGAGCGTAACAAATTGAAAATCTGAAGGCAATAACAGAACTGTCCATTCATTTCATTGCTTGTTTACTAAAGTGACAAGATTTCTTTAATTTTAACAAATATCTTAAAAATGCAGAATTAAATTATTTATTGTTAAAGGATTCTGCAGCCAAGGTGTCACTACATGTCCATACGCTGGAAAAGTCTGATGGCCTGGTTCCCATTTTCATCAACGCCAACACGGGGCATTTTCGATCATATTCGACAATTACTCTGGGTGCGCGAGGTGACAGTTATTATGAATACTTACTGAAGCAGTGGATACAGACGGGACGAACCATAGATTAGTAAGTAAGAACTGAACTGGCATCAAATTAGTACGTGGAGTCACACGTGTGCCATCTTTATGTAAAGAAAGCAAATCCCTTAAAATTCAAGCTCTTCTGTGCCTTCAACTTTAATTTAAGATAAAGTAACCGTAATATTTGTTTTTGCTTACACCCTGTAAGGGCATACACAATGAAACTCTTAAATACCTGTATGTTTTCTGGACCATCGAGATGCCTATACACCCTGTAAGGGCATACACAATGAATGTTTTCTGGACCATCGAGATGCCTGTAATAATACTTTTCCTTCGTCGCAATCTTCAATTTGCCACCAATGCAATTATTATTTTACAGTCTGCGAGATGACTTTATAGAAGCTATTTCAGGAGTGACGAAACATCTAACAAGAAGAACAGCTCAGAATAAGTTTTTATTTGTTGGGGAACTTCTTGCCGGAGGAAAGGACTTCAAACAAAAGATGGTATGCTTGAAGAAGTTTCTGGTCATCTAGCACTTAAGTGTTTTAATTTTTTCTCCTTCCGTGGTACTTTGTTATTAATTTTAACTGGGTGGCATGAAATTTGAGAGGTGGGAAAACTTTAACATCCCATTGCCTTCTTCTCAGGGCTGAAAGCAAAGTTTGCTTTTTGTAACTACCCTTGAGGAACTCTTTGAGAGGAACGTTATAATTTTAATTGAAACATAATAGTGAATTTCAATGGCGTAAGTTACAAGCTCCTTGAAATGAATGTTATAATTCTGAATGAGACGTTATTATATCAATGTTTTGAATTATTGTTTATGCTGTGGTTTGTGAATTGAAGTCTTTTAGACACTGAGGTCTATTAGTAGGTCCAGTGTTTTCCATTTCGAAGATGACCATTGACCCATATGAACTGCTGTATTTTCACAGGATCATTTAACATGTTATTTACCTGGTACGCTTGCACTGGGTGTGCACAATGGCTTGCCACAAGAACACATGCAACTTGCAGAGGATCTCATGACGACGTGTTACCAGATGTATGCCCAGCAGCCAACGTTTCTGGCGCCAGAGATTACGTATTTTAATATCAATGTAAGTTAGGTTAGGTGCAGTTAAAGCTTAAATTAGTGGATTATCTTTTTTAAAAGATTGTGAACCAGAAATAATGTTTGTTTATTTTGCCCCCAGTTAGAATTTTTTATGTGTTCTTTGCGTGATGTACGTTGAATAAAAACACACGGGGCATATCATGTATGTCCACTTGTTTAAACTCGAGAAGTGCTAGATGAATTTTTATGAAATATGGTATGTACATTATTCTGTTTGAGGCCACTCAAACTCGTTCCTTTTAATCTGTTACAGTTGGTAATTCCAAACATGTTCAACGACAAAACAATATCTCGTGCATTTGAGTACACATTACACGTTTCCAATCTTGTTTAATTGCAGGAAGGAACAACCGGAGATATCGTTGTTAAGACTAATGATGCCCATAATCTCCTGAGGCCTGAATTTGTTGAAAGTCTGTGGTACATGTATCAGGTCACCGGGAACCAAACCTACCAAGAGTGGGGGTGGCACATATTCCAGGTAAGAGACTTTCTTAGACGCAGAATTGGCATTTTGCTCCGAGCTTATGTCGAGAATGAAAATTGATTATTAATTATATCTTAGATATGTGATGTTGATATATTTATAATTTGTTTAGTTATGTAACAATTTTTTAGAAGTGGCAAGTACCTAGTCACATTTTTATAATTCATTGAACAGTTAATTGTAAAAAGAACAATTTCAGGAATTTTTTCTGAAACACTTTTCAATTTCTTCAGAAATTGGCTTCAGGCCCATTCATTTAGGTTTTCAAGTGACGTGTGGTCCACAATATTTTAGTTTTATATTTTAATATCAGATCAGTGTATAATCTCATTACGTAGGATACAGGTGACAGTGACCCACACATGTTTTGAAAGTTATTTATTACATTGCTGCTGTTGTTTTTGTACATTCACAGGCATTTGAGAAGTTCACAAAGGTTGCGAATGGCTATACGTCTATCGGCAACGTACGTAACCCGTTAAACACCCGCCCACGGGACATGATGGAGTCTTTTTTCTTGAGCGAGACACTCAAATACTTGTACCTGTTGTTCAGTGATGATCCAAATATACTCAGCCTTGATAAATACGTACTCAACTCAGAAGCTCATCCACTCCCAATATACGACACTTGATCGTAGGTTGGTTTAGAATTATATGAACGTAAGAGAACTACTTTGTTAATTCTAGTAGTTGTGATGTATGAGCAATACTAAGTGAACTTAAGGCATGCCGGAAGAACTGACGTGATATACTTTTTTATATTTATAATCAGAATCAAGTATATTGTGATACAGTTGTCACTCCTGAAAGAAACTATGATTGAAAATTCTAACTATGGAGGAGAAGAATAAATTTTACAGTAATTCTAAGTCCCAAAGCTTGTTTAATTCAAGGGCTCTGGGCTTAAAATGTCCTCTAGTCTGGTCCTTGCGAATGCGGGCAAGTCAAGCTCACAAGCACCTTCATTGGATGAGTTACGTGTCGGTCACGGTCATGGTGGCGCAGGAAAGTCACAAACCGAATTTTAATCAGTAGAATCTTCTATGTTGCAAGCTTTTTCAAGAACGCCAGTTAGCGCTGTATGTCCGTTTTTTATGTTGTGATTGCCATTTTTGTGGTGAAGAGGTAACGGCAACTGTGATACATAAATTATACATATTTACTACGTGTATTAACAAAAAGATATATTATTAGTTCTAAGTATGATTATACTGAGAAATTAATAATTCTTCTGTAGAGTTCTTATTTTAATTTGCTTTTATCTACTGGAGAGATCTTCATTAGATTGACCCCCCCCCAGACTGTACAGTCTGTGGTAAGTAGCTAACTTATTTAAGTTAAGAAAGCAAGTTCTCTGCTAAGGGGGTAAAGTTACTGAAGAGGCATTTCACGGGCATCTTTCCGTTTTACGTCGTTGGCTTACTGGGACCAAGATCAGCGTTTGTCTTAATGTTTGAATGATTAGATTTTTATTAGTCTTTTTAATGTGTCTATATTTCTTGAAATGTGATTTTACTTCTACTTAGATATGTGTAAGAAATCATTAATTTCTTCATAATTTTAGAATGTTTATATTGTTAAAATATTTTCAGGCTGATTATAAATGGGCTCTGGTAAATATAGTACAACTGAATGTGTACTTCTTTGTGCTCTTGAGTTTATGTAACTCTTGACCACCACAGTCATGAATTTTTTTTTAAAGAACGTGATGACATTTCTTTGAGTTAAAAGTATTACAAATGCAGCTCGCCCCTCTCACCTATCTGTGCTGGCACCACAAATTCTGTGTGAAGGGGGCTTCCAGTCAAATGTGATCAAAAAAACACCATAAAAGTATTAAAGGGCACAAATTTCTGTGTACCGAGTCAGAAAAAACAGACGAGGAATGCGCATGTATGGACAGGGAGGATAAGTTGACTTATTTCCTTTTGTTTTACATACTCTTTTCATTGTCACTAAACTTCCACTATTGCCCAATGAATATTTTCATGCGAAGTGAATGAAGTATTCACAGAAACAATGCAGTGTAGGAGACAGGTGTACGAAGCTAATGAAGTTGGACGTAGCATTAAAACGAAAAGTCGCTGTAACAGAACTCTTATCAGTTATCGTCTGCCGCTTCCTGACCTGAATTTTACTCACATAAAAACATTGACCGATGACAGTATTTCAAAATAATCTTGCTTTTACTCTCAGTGGTGATACTTTTTTCGCTTGCGGTGACTTGACCTGTTGTGTATCCCATGTCTGCAGTGTAAAAAACAATGTTTCATCCGACTTCTGCTACGTCGTATTTATAAATTTTGTATTTACAGAGCTTCCGAAGAAATTGCTGAATGTAGTGTTTTATGTCAAAGGTATTGTATAGAGATGAACACTTTTATTTATGCAAAAACTGTTTTGTGTTTATACTTCCTGCTGGATTTGAACTTTGTACAATGTTTCATGAATATATGTAAAAAGAAACCTGACATTTTGCTTTTTGTCTGTTTCACTTATATTTTATAGATTTCTTCATATTAATTGTGATTTGTAACTATGTCAGGTGTTATATACAGCATATGTTGTTATGAGGATTGTTAGCATGAATATACGGTGTGTCCATTTTATGTGAGCTGAAAATCATAAGAGAGAAGTTTATTCACAGCAGTAGAACTTTTATCGAGAAATTCTTTTCAATTGAAGTTCAAAATTTGTACATTATATGGTTCTACAGAGAAACGCTTCAACACTTTTTTCTCATGTGAGCTGTCAGTATTGTCCATAGTATATTTTTGTGTTATTTTTATCCAACACCAAGGCTGTCGTACAAAATTTTCATTTTGGATATTTTCCAGTGGCATTTTCCTGATAAATGATTACGTCCTTTCATTCCTGCAGTTGAGCCTGTCCTGTATACCACCTGCAATGCAAGTCCTACAGAATGTAACCTGATTGACCTTACTCTGTTCAATGTTTAACAGAAGTTGTGTGCATTCACGGTTGTACATAATTTCATTTTCCTTCTTGACATGGATTAAAAGTGCATCTGAGGGCGGCTCGGCATCTTGAATGTAACTATTGTATGTGGGGAGGTGGCACCGGAATGATACTGTTTTAATGATTATAGTTACAATTTTGCTTGTTTATCACTCAGTATAATCATACATTGAACTGAAACACAATGGCAAATGTTCAATTTGGAATGTGGCTGTATTTCAGAAACTTGGAGAAAGGGTAATAGTTCATATGCATCACCAATGTATCTGATTTGTGTCAAACATTATAAGGTTCATCGGCCATCTTTCTCGTGTAGTGGAATGTTAGCAAGGATTGGAAAGCTCGTCAGCTGTCCTCTCCCACTGCTCGGTTAAATTTCAATGTCGCATGACCTTGTGTATAAATAAATAATTTTTAACGTTTGACTGAAATTCATGTCGCCTGGAAGTCATCAAGCTAGCGGTATTCATAGCAACAACAGTGTCGCTACACTGTGATAATTTTATGAGTGTACGTTTTAACTTATGTGTGAAAATGTGACCTTTTAGTTTTTCAGACGATTTCTTAGTTGATATTCATTTAATATGTATTATATATAATTATCCAAAATGTGAATGTTAATAGAAGTAAATATACATAAAACAAATATGAAAACTAGTACAGCTCGCACATCGTACTATGTTTTATGTTTAATGGTAATTTTATATTTGAAACAACAGTACTGGAGTGGGATGTGGTGCTGACAGAGAAATGTTTTCAAAGGGCACTAATTTATTAAAAATAACTCTTCAAAAGTATGGCAGTCTTTTTAGATGGTATGGTATTTCCCTTTTCCATCCTTCCATAGCTAAAGGTAGGGAACTGGGGAATTAAATGTCTCATTGTGACCTGTAATCCATTAATAGTAAGTGCACGAAGGCAATGGAATGTTTTCATATGCAAGGAGAAATGATGATTCCATTTCAAAGGAAGAAACAGAACACAGTGTCTTACATACTTGTATATACAATAATCGCATTCCTACTTCTGCTTCGCAGTTTCAGATTGCCCACGTCAACAGCCTTCCTCCCTCCGTCCCTATTGCGTCAAATTCTTAAATAACATACTGACTATGTTTTTAAGATACTTTTTTATGTGAGGTTTATATTAGGAGAACATGATTTTAGAATAAGATCTAGATCACTTGTGAACATTTTAATTTTTCTTTCATTTTTGTCACAGTTTCTCTCAAATGTGGATGCAAAATATATCGTATACACATCGAGGTTCAGTGGTTTGCATGCAGCCACTGGCTGGATGTGGAAATGTGTAGGCATGATTTCCAGAGGATCATAAATTACTAGCTTCCAAGATACAACTAGTATGGCACAAATATATTGCTTTAAATATAAATATATTTATCAATTATAGATTTGGTCCAAGATTTTTTCACACGAGCCTTCATTTTGAAAATGATCAACACATTTTCATATTATCTATTCACCTCAGAGGAAGACATCTAATGATTCAGGTACCATTATGGTCATAATGAAAATACACAGTGGCACCAACCTAACTGCACAAAAGGCCCCGTTGAAATGGACTGTGTATGAATGTTGGTGAGATGACTTTGTGCAGTTTGACCAGAAGAAAATCAGTAATCCTGAATACAATACTGTTGAAACTAATAATCACGTTATACGGTATGTACAGACATCAGAAACGCCGAAGATGAGGAACCTTATTCTAGGTAAAACAAATTTTTCAAAACTATTTTAACTTCCACTTTCCACTTAAGACTCTTCTTTCAGTCAGTTTAAAATATAAAATATAGAAATACTCAAAACTCCATTGTAGAAGACACAACAAAGTTTCTGTAACATAAACTGTACACAAACAACACTTCACGTGTAAAATCACATTGTAACGTACTATCACAGTGTCAGCGCTCATATTCATTTGGATAACACAACTTCTTCATGCACAGATGTAAAAGTTTAATAACACAAACATAAGTAAATGATTTTCTTTCCTTGGGACATGTTTAATTCTTTTAAGTCCATTATTCAGTCGTATGTATTTGAAAATCATTTTATCACATAGGTCTAAATGCATTTTGTTTGAATTTAACAAGTTTTTGCCATAAAATGATGTATTGATATCGCAAACCTTTACCAGTTCTTCGAGAACTACTATTTAATTTATAATATCGTACATTCACAGCACTGCATTGTATAATATAAGCACTGAATTCCACAGCCATCATCAGGTTTGCATTCATCTTCCATTGGCCAGGTTCCATCTATTTTATCAGTCTCGCAGGTAATTTGTTCGCCAGTCATGTCTAGAGATTTGGCGTGCACTTCTGTAGTCAGAGGGATCTCTTCGATGTGTTCGATGGCCTCCTCATTCTCGAGGCTCCGTCTGTTTGATGTCGTCCAAACTACAGGACAATGCTGTATTTGGTAGGAGTGCTCTAAGTCGTTGGCAGCCAGAGTTTGATGTATTGTCACAGCGCTGGTTGTCTCGTCCATGTGGTCTGGACTGAACTGGACTGCTTTATCCTGCATGCACTTGACATTAATCGGTGGGCTGACGGCAGTTTCTTTGAGCTCAAAAATGAGCTCACCATGTGGTGTAGGGGAGTCTCCAGACATCATGATCCTAAAAACAAAACAAAAAATGTAAACTGAGCCTGTAGTAACTTCATTAATGGAGCTCAATGTGCGTAATTAGTTATTTTGTGCTTTCATATATGTTCACTTATTACCCTGTCTGTTAAAACACTGTTGTCTTATAACAATGGTGAAGACCATTTTCACAGCTGTTGACTGGCATTCTACAATACAGAATCCAAATAAATTGTAATGGAACTTAATGATAGGATGTGAGGGCGTGTACTGGACGAATCTAGCTTGGGATGGAAACCATTGGCCATGGTAATGATCCTTCAGGTTGTATGAGGTCTGAGGTTCCCATGGCAGTTCAAAATCTTGATGCTGGTCTTGGTTATAATGCCACGTTGACTTGTAGGTCAATACCAACGTTAGCCTTATGAAAGAAAACAGATATTGTAAGTTATTTCCAGAAAATAATGTTTCATTTAGGTTTGTGTTAAAAAGAAATGGCTTACTCCACATTAGAGATAAAATTCCTTGCAACTTTGACTGTTATGTCACGATATTTTTTTATCTACATCACCTGCATTTGTCTGATTGTGCATAATATTACCTTGTAATAATGTACTTAATATTGGTGGCATGTAGCGCTCCTTTGTATCAGCATTCTAAAGGCCTCCACAGCTGAGAGGCGAGTCTGCGAGAGAGGACTGCGCAGCGTAAACTAAGCGGCCAGCATAAAATTGTTAGACTGTGCCATAAAACTTTCGAGTGACGTCCATTGTTATGAGGAATGCATTAGAAATATTCAGCATGAGTATTAAATCTATCGATTAGTGTCACGAACGCCAGCATGACATTTCAAGCCTTGTTTGGTACCTACCGTCTCCAATGGTTCTCGTTATCACGCGGTTTATTTACAGCGTAAATAATTTATTGCCATCAAAACAATCTCCCAGAAAGGGAGTTTCTGCGACTGGTACATACACGTCTCAGCCTTTTAGTTTCATAAATGGCGGCGATGTTTTAACCGTTTGAGAACGACAATCAGCCTCTGAAGGGCTCCATCGAGGAAGTTAATTAAAACTGTATGTAAAACAATGGCTTTACCGCCATTCGCCCAGGGACAGCCATGAGAAACCGGTTAGCTGATAAGTCTTATGTGAAATAAATTATGAAAGTTGCCGTTTGTTAAATGTCGTGTCACACTTTACACTTTGGTACGTGGATCATGGAGGCATAAAACAAATGAACGTCCTGAGCTTCAATCCGGTTTGTTACTGTCGTGATGCCCACGTTATTTTGTACTGCGCTCTCATGGAACAACCTCCAGAATCAAGGTTACACGAGGCAAGAAGTGAATATGTTCGCTGTTCACGTGGAGTCTGGCGTCTCGGCTCAAGCGTTGAGAGGTCAGTCAAACCACGTCCGAAACGTTGGCGCTCATTTACATGGACTCTCCTGGAGATAGTTGAAATCGCGGTAATGACAAGACACTGAGCTTAACCTCTTGAAGCCGCCGGTCATGTAAGATAATAACAATTAAGCCCTTACGTCAAATAAATCACATCGCGTCTCAATTACAATAAAAACTTCATGTGATAACATCAACACTGCAATAAAAATCTTATTAACGTCGTTGAATAACAACGTGTTGTCTTTCCCACACGTCCGCCTCCTGTCCAATGCCAATCGTGGGCGTTTTCTCCGAAGATAAACCGAGAGGAACGTGACCCTGACCATTCACCTCTACCTAAAGCCAAGGTTAAGAATGCGTCTTGCTTAGACACTAGGACATTTACCTCATTTCTACGAAAGCATACGCAAGGAAGCAACATTTGTGTATCGATTAAACAGTCAGTTGACATGTCCTGCATTATTTATGCAATGAAATTAATGTATTTCGCTTATTTGTGTTCAAACATGAAAGGGCCGAATCATCCCCTCCTTACCCTGTAGGTGTCTACTCTCCGTAAAGATTCCAAGGCGCTTGACCTTTGACATCTCATTCCTGTGTAGGAGAAAGGTCTTTCTCCTGTCAGGCGCCAGGTCTCATAAAATGACACATATCTAATGCACACAACCGAATCCAATGGCCCAACTTTTGATTCGCATTATCAAACGAAGCCTTTATGTAGCGTAGTTCTCGATGAATTGTGTCTCACGTGCGACCGAGGCCTCTTACGAACTACAAACCACGGCATCCGTTTACAGAACCAAAAAAAATGAAAAAACGACATATACAGACCAGATTTAAATACTACGAGACATTCTACCACTTGGTAACCTGAGCACTGAGAAGTCCATCATCCATGGTTGCCAGTTCTTAGTGAGAAGTCTGTTCTAGGAATGACGCAATCGGTTATAACAGATTTGCATTGTCCACAGTACCATTTCCCTCCCTGTTACAAGTAATCCGACACAGCTGATAGCGTTATTACCCCGTCTGCAAGATTGTCTCTCGACTTGAAGCCCACCAGCGCACTGGACATGAAAAGATCACTCCATAGTATTTAACCCCTTATTTAAGAATTAAGTCCGTACCGCAAAGAAAACACAGCACTTCACCATTACAAAAATCACGTGGTTGATGCTGTTTAAGGAAACTCGCTGTTTATCCCATAAATCCAAAATGCATAATCAATTACTGTTTACGCAGGTGGTAAGTGTAGTTACCACTGATCGTGTCTGGAAACAATTGAAAATGCACTTAAATCTCCTACGACAGGAAAAAGCATACACAATCTGAAGAGTTGCTTAAACGTGCACAGACCTGGTTGCAGCGACTTCCCTCGTTAACACGATTATTAGCGCTAACAAAACAGTAAGGTCATGGAATGCTCAGTAACACAGTCTGTAACCTAAACAGATGAACAAGTAGTTAATACGAGTATTTGTACTGACATTATCAGCATCACTGAGGAGATTTGAACAGTTTCGTCTGAAGATGATGTCCATTTCAAATCAGCATTTGACAGCACGCTTTTGCTTACCAAATTTGTTCCAGCAAATAATAACAATAACTGCAAAATGCACTAAAAACACTGAAGGCTGCAATATTACGTGCGCAATACGACGTATGTCTTGGATACGACAAAATAGAAAGATTGCTACCCAAGTTCTTATTTTCATTGTTGTCATAGCGCCATGATGGAAATATCAACTGACGTACACAACTCTGGCCACGGTTCATGAAAGTAATTTGTTTCGTTGAGACGAACGCTGCAGCGAACCTCTGCTCCGTGATGTTCCCAGAAAAGTGAGCTGGAGGTCGACTACATTGTAGGCCTTCGTAAATTGTTCTCATTTCCTCTGCCTTCTCTGTCCTCACTTTTCTACGCAATATCTGTGCCTATGGGCGGTCAGCCAGAACGTTAAACCGTTCCAAACACCACTCCGCCGAATAACAGCAGAATTTTACGTTTTTCAGCCTTACATAAGGAATTTTGTTCAATGTCATGACCGAATGACATTATTTAAATACGTTCAACCCCACACACAAAACACGTGTACCACGTCTCTCAAGAAACCTAGCAGGGAATCGAACCCAGTTCTCTTTACTGGGAAATCTTTAATCTACTTAGAAGCAGACTTCGTTTGTTCAAATGGCCAGAATTGTGGACTGCAAATTTTCATTAAAATAAACAGATGGCTCCAACAATTGTGCCCGGCAAAAACAATCCAAGGTTGCGTTTAAAATTACTTCTGCATGGAAGCCCTTCCCTCTTTGTTACACGCATTCCACACAGCGTACGTACGTAGCCTAAGTTATTGACAGATAAGGTGGGGATGATGCAAAAAACCTTTATCTAATAAGCCCCATACATCTCCAGGGACACGCACACACGACAGCCATGAGGTAAACCGAGGAATTTTCATTAACAATGCACACATCAGTATAAAACATAACGCGTTGGCTCCATGTTCGTCGTACGTACATTTCAAATCAACCCTGACGTTTCTGAAGCAGAAACCTATTTTAATGACACTTGTGACTGGAAAGTTTAATTATGATCGTCTAGTTCGCTTGGGACGAATCGGGTTCGAGGCTTACGATTTTTCTCAGTCCGTGAAGGCAAATGCTGATAGGGACAGGTCGGACCCGACCCCTTCCGCGTTCTTCGTAGCCACAATCATCGCATCGATCGCTGGTATATATCGATAAGAAAGAAATTAAAATATATGAATGGCTGTATGTGATTGGAGGTAAATTTGAAAACAACAAAGAAACTGAATAAATCCAACTTCAGTGTTGCATTCGTTGTAGCAAAATCATTTTGAGAGGCGATCTAACTAACCATCTGGGCGAGTTAGCAAAGCAGAGAATTGTTAGGCTAAAAATCAATTCACATTCTGTGCAGGAGTGACGCGACGAGATGACGACACTGAATACTGCATGTAACATAGAAGATGATAATATGATACAGAATAACAGAGCTACTGCCTAGCATTCCTTGCACTAGAAGGAAGTGAGCGATAGGTTTACAACGCCTGTAAGTCTTTTGTGGTTGATGAGCAAAGTTCAGTAATGACACTTCATGATACGTCTGCAAATTATCTGCGTAATCATTTTTCCTCCTTGAACGCATCGGGAAGTGTACAGTCAAGATTTTTTGACGTAAATACGTCTATATTGAAGGGTCATTCCGCAAAAAAGTGTTACGAAAAACGTGTAAGATCCATATCAACAATGTGTAAATATGGACCGACAACAATGGTCAGCTTGCGTGCATTGTTATGTTACCTAGGAAACGTCATCTGTTTACTCGGCATTGTTGTGTTACATTACTGCCGTCAACAATCCGCTTTCGTAACAAGATGGATGACATTGAAGAAAACATTACATTACATTACAGAGACGTAAATATAATTTAAATACAGAGACGTATTTACGTCAAATTCTCCGGAAACCGTGGTTCCACTGTAACTTTTTTCACTTTTCATAGAGAAACAGCTGAGAGATGTAAGTTACTTATTCAGAATCTCGAATGGTTACGGAAATAACATGTTCTAAAGCATTTTCTTCAACAGTCTGTGTTCTAAAAGACGGCGTCGGATGTGAACGGCTGATCTTTGAGATCGCACAACGTCCAGAATGATCAACACAAAACGTGAGTCAACAGCGAGACCAAGCAGCCACGTGTCCTTCAACTGTTTCGGCCGAGGTTGGAAACTTGAGAAGCAAATATCTTGTGTCGGCGACTGGAACGAGATTGGTGCACATGGACTCCAGCACATGGCTGGTGATGATGATATGTTTCAATCCACGCGTGCTTCAGAAGGCAGACAAAAGCGAGGTACAAAGGCAGGCGAAAATCAAACCGAAAATTACGTCTGTGATCAATTTTAAATAAGTAATACTGGAGTCCATTTTTATCTCGCGCTTAGCTAAAATAAAATCAGCTGATGCAGAATTCAAACAATCATGCACACTAATTACAACTTTTTTTTTTGTCGACTTTATGTGCTTGAACAGCAGACTAGAATGTCCTTATAGTCATAAATAACTTGGAAACAAAGTCCTTTCTAGTCCGTCGTTCATCAGTCCATCTCATTCAGCGCGCTCTTAATAAATGTAGCTCGCCTCGGCTCAGTAAACTCGTAATCTCATGTCAATTACATTTCAGGAGGGGTTGAGGGGGAAGGGGGGGAGTCCAGAAATGGTTTGTGTCACAAGGTCAAACCAGATTTTCAATAAATTATCAGCGGACAATTAAATTCCGCCAAGGATCACTCCAGAATCTCACGTCATATGTTGATTCTATTGATTCTGTGCCATTAGTCACATTGACAAACACCATCGCTTGAAACAGACAAACAAATGGCAAGAGCGAGTCCGAAAACTTCTTGGTATAATTGCGTACTGATGATGGAGGCACAGACAGTCTCCGAAACGTAGAGTTTAAACTCCATACTCACACAGTTGATAGTCTGATATTTAATTGCATTCAGTCGCCGTGAAAGCTTAAAATCTTATCTGCTGGTTATTTTTATCTGAAATTTTATACGTGATCTTTACTTCAAAATAAAATTAACCGTAGAAAAAATTTCGAATCGGCCTGGTGTTTTATCAGGACGTCCAGCTACACATTCGCTACGTGTATAACTGCACGCTTAAATATCTGTTCATGTGATACATATCTTCAGCATCACCAAAATATTATTATCCGTGAACAATTGATCATTCAAGAATTCGTCAAATATTGGGTGTGAGAAATTAAAATTATCTTATTTTGATTCCAATTAACTAAAGGTAAAAATTAAGCTTTCGGGGCTTTATCCCAGCGAGTTTGGACTGCGCCAAAACGGTGGTAAAACAGCGTACTGAAATATCTTCAGAGCAGTATTTTGATAAGTTCGCTAACTTTAAACTTTATAATAATGGCAACGTGTTAGGGTTACCAACACCACAAACAATCGCCATACGCTCAAATATAAATTTTCA